AAAAGTTGTTACTTTTTAACCAGTCAGTAGTATATATAAATATGTAGTGATTGTGAACATGTATTGAAAAACAGTTACAAACAAAATGATCCATTAGTTAGAAAAAAGAAAAACAATATAACACTTTGTACACTTTCCTTTTGCAATACTATTATTGATGATATTAATTTTCAATAAGTCAGGATTTGATTATGACCGATTTGGTCTCGCTTGTTGTTACAGGTATGAGGGTAGTTGTCACTTTCCGTCTGCCCACACCGTGGAAGGTTGTTTCTAGAGGAACCTGAAAAGGAAGGTAGATTTGTGTCGGTCTTAGAGACCTGGGAACGTGACCGCAGAGCCCAAGGGACAACTTCTTGAGGCCGGTCACGCACGGCCTTTTGATGAAAGGTTTTTTGAGTATTAGCTCCGCTCTTTTTAAAGCCCTTAGTGGGCACCCTTACAGTCGGAGAAAAAAATCCGTGAGGTAGGGTGAGGTGTGACAATTTTTAGGTCGACCTTTTCTAACCCTTCCTTCCTTCGTTGTGAGAAGGCAGCTTCGCTGCAGATGCTGGTTGACCGAAGGAAACACCATACTGCTGTCACACCCCTGTGCAGTCAGCAGTTCGACTTGAGTCGACCTCATAGAACGTAGTTCGAATGTACATCAGTTCAATTTGCCATACCACATTAGCATAGAGATGCAATTGTCAATTCAAATCCCATAGTGGTAGAGATAGTAGAAATATAAGGCGATAATGTAGAAGATTATGGTTCGAAGATATAAATTCAAGAACTCATAATCCATTGAAATAAACTCAAAAACAGGAAGATCAAGATGATGAGGAATTCAGATGCATCTGCACCACCGAATACGATTTGGAGCCATGTCATTCAATGTCTATAACAATCGGTTACGATTGTCTCACGTACCCTAACCTGGTAGTCTACACCTAACATGACTCAGTTCAGTTGTAAATGACTTAATCAATGTGTACTAATAATTCCCAACAATATTTGAGTATATATATGTATATATACATTTTGTGTCCATATATTATCAATTTGAACTAAGTACACACACGCACTATATACAGTGTACTTTACATCGAAATTCTATGTTACACAATTGTTATCAGTTTGGGATACTGACGGTTATCAATTAGAAGACAAACACGAGGTGTTGAATACGTTTATTCTTGCACACCACAAATACAACGACAGACCACAGACATGAATATGATATGCGAGTACCGGAAGGCAAGCAAGCAAGCAAATGAAAGAATTAGGAATGAACGGATTGGCGAATGAAATGAAGTGGCGAAGGCTAGTGAACCAACTCGCACACATAAAGCATGATAAAGAACTTATAGTCGGACAAAAATAAGACACACATGGAATAAATGAGCTAGGCCTGTACACATACGAATAAAAGCGACAAATGATTGACAAGGTCAAAATACAAGTGGGACAAGTCACGTGAGCTAGACATTGACTAACTCACTACAAGTATTTGATAAGCTTAACACGCATTTTTCACTCTACGGCTGCCAAAAGCTGATAACTTTACATTGCCGTTTGAAATGGTATTTCTACTGATCCTTATGCATGATATTTGAATTTCTCACACAAAAATCTTGATTCTAACTAACTAACTAACTAACTGACTCATATTTAAAGTGTCCTTTCAGCCTCTCTTTACAACAAGCCATTGTTTATTTTGTGATTAGCTTGTACCGGTGTGTATGTTCAATTTTATTATTGAACCTAATTCAAATACACACTTTATTGTTTTAAATAGTCAATTAAATTGAATTGACTCAGTAGTTAATTATGTGTGGGCAGCAGCAGCTGCCTCGTCTGATTCATAAATATATGAAAACCAATGATTATTATTAATGTATTAATGTACAACATATGGATAGATTATTGGGTGTAAATTGATATTAAATCAGTTGTATACTACTTATTTTAGTTGTTCCATTCTGTTGAGATGGTGCATCTGTGTCGACTGAACCAAACAGACAATATCACTGATTATGTCATAACTACATAGAGATGTATGTAGAACTACTAGCCAGTGTTCACTAACTAACTTCATTTTATGAAGGAAGTAGGAAATTATGTTCATCGATAGAGTAAAACATGTAATTGAATAAAACGGTACACAGAATCGACATCAATACAGTTTTTAAAATGTTGCATAAAAATTATCACAAATGGGAATAGAAGCTTTGGCTAATCGTTAATTCAAACCTTTCTTATGTGTACTGCAACAATTTGTCGTAATCTTGAAGTCTGCTGCCTGATGATGTGATATGACAAATGGCTATTCTTTCGCATGGCTATCCTTTCTTTATTGACAATGATCACTTTTCAGGCAGAGTTTTGGAGATTTGTGTTTTTACGCATTTGAAATCATCAATCAATCATTGTTAGACCACCATTAGAAACCTGGAAGCACTGGATGATTTCAAATGTGTAAAAACACAGATCTCCAAAACTCTGCGCGAAAATATCGTAACAGTGCTCACTAGTGACTAGCTTCGTGAGGAAATTCTCGGAGTTCTAATTGAGGAGATGTTACCAATGGGGTTCAACCCTGTTGGGTATAGGCAGTAACTACCAAAGACAATTGGGTGAGGTCGCACAAAATCCCTAGATCAATCAGTGTTAGACATTAACACTGTCGGATGCCGGTCGATGGTTAGACGTTCGCGCACAATACCGAAGGTCCCAGGTTCAAATGCTGCGAGATGCATGAGTCGTGGATGCGCATTGCTGATGAGTCCCATGCCTTGCCAGTGCTTCCAGGTTTCTAATTGTGGTCTAACAATGATTGATTGATGATTTCAAATGATCACTTTGTTTATTTGAACTTTAATTGAATTGACTCACTACTCAATTTCTTATATAAAAATGCCTTAGTAAGTTAGTTGTATCACATGACCGGATTATTCGAAATGTTGGTATATTTTTTTTCCGATGAACTCTCATTTCTGTGTCAATATTTTAACCAATTAATACACAAATGTGTTAGTTGGAGCGATATGAAATTGTTTGTGAGATTATACAGGGTTATTTTTTTAAAAAAAAAGCAAGCAAAGGACAAAACGTGTTTACCCGAAGAGTTTCGTTTTACAGTTAGTTACACAATCCCTTGATTGTAGGGTATGTGGGGTTGTATGAAGTGTGTGTATATATATATTATGAACTCAGTAATCATATGAACGTTCACGTTGTTGACAGTATAAGATTTTTCGTGATAATTAATTAATGATTGAGGTTAAATATTTCGTTTATTAGTGTAGTGAACGAGAAAATAGGTGGGGCAACCGAATTGTATTTAACGAAAATTACAGAGTTACTCAGTAAAATTGGAAAACCATATCGTAAATCGTTCATTTGCAAAATATCAGTCCATCATATCGAACTGGACTGTTCCTGTTGAAAAACATCAATCCATTGTCACTACTATTCATGCGTTTCATACAAATTCCATTGTTTTCTAACTCTTCCTTTCTTGATCTTCCCTCATCTTCTGCTGCCAGACATTACATTGACACTCACGTCATATACTACTTATAAGTAGCTCGCACCACATTAGTTATAGATCCGATTGTGCTGCTTACGAATCTAACTCTTCACAATCTTTTATTACACAAAATGAAATTGTCTTCTGTCATCTGATGTGTATTTTGTTGTTTGATTTTGGTATATAGTTAGTAGTAGAATTATTATTTTGAAAGGTATTTACATCATCACACGATTTTAAATAAACAACTATTCACAGTCCATTGAATGTTAAGTTGTTGTTGTTGCGTCCAAGAGAGTGGTCTGAGTCAGTTTTTTCTCTCGAAGTACTGTATTGTAATCTCTGACCTCAAAGATCATGACGACTTCAACATCCTTATCCTGAGCTACAAATCTCCATAATATTATTATCTATGTGTTTTATAGCCACTTACAGTAAAGTTTTCTTCGTTGTCTTCAAGAAGTTGGAATTCTTGTTAACACAGAAATGAAAGATCGGATAAGAAATATTTGGCATTTAAAATCAGGCACCGAAGAATACAAAGGGTCTTACTTGAGAAAGTTGGATGTGTATTGTCTTCGAGATCTCGATGAAACGAATGCCCGATAAATCTATTTCTTGTTACCTGTCATTATGGGACAGTGGCTGTCTCCTATACTACTGCTCTGTGAATTAAACTTCTCGGTCCAAAGGCTTGAGATATGGGACTTACTAACCCAGCCTGTGCAATAGTATTATTATTGCATGTTAACATATTAACATAACAAATAATTAAAAAAATAACAATTAAGTTATAGAACTTGCAGATCAATAGACGAAGTATTGAAACTTCATCAGTTTAGGTGGTCGGTACATGTGTTACGTATGCCCAACCGCCGACTGCTTCGACGAGCTTTGTTTTGTAGTGTAGGAGTAGGTTGGAAGAAAGTTAGGGGCGACCAAACCAAAACAAGGCAAAAATGCATGAAGTCATTGACAAGTGAACTGAGTCATGTTGGTAGATGTAAACTACTTTGGTTGGGGTCCGCGAGACGATAGTAACCGGTGATTTGAGACTTTGAACGACATGGCTCCAAATCGTTTGCAATGGAGCAGGTGCATCCACTCTTTGTGTTCTCTCAAATCCTGATTTTCTGGATTCGTCAACGCTTCTACCTTTGTCTTTCTAAACTTATTTCACTGAATTATACTTCTTGAATAATATCTCTATATTACAAGTAGTAGTACTCCTACTATGTCTACTACTATGGGATTTGAATTGACAATTGTGTCTGTTTGTGCTAATGTGATATGGCAACATGAACACTGATGTATTTATGTACGAAGTTCTACATTGCATCTGATCGACTGACTGACTGATAGGACTGTGTAGAGGGGAGGCTTTGTGATGATGACATACCTTCCTTCTTCCATAAAATTCATATGTTTTGTTATTGTTTGTGTTTGATTCAATTTTCAACGTTTCAATGTTTTTATTGATTTATAGGAATTATTGGAAACTGTTGAGAATAAGCATCGAATCATTATGGATGAACTTTTGAATATTGTGAAACAATGTGACATTTCAATGAATAAAATAATCAACTCCTCTGACAATAAACAAAACTGTTCACTGACACAAACAATGAGTACTGCTGGTATTGCTACTACTACTAACAGTAGTATTAGTAGTAGTAGTAGTTATTTGTCAAAATTTTTGGATCCAATCGAATTGATATCGCAAAGATTTTTGCATTTTATTACAGAAATTCAAAAAGTTATCTCAGAATATGATGAGTTAATTAGTCGTACAAATAAACGATTAAAACGAATGCCTCAACAACAGCAACAGCAACTGTCTGTCAATAATAATGATATGCTGAATAATACATCGGTAATTGCATCAGACGCATCTGAATCGGAAATGTTGTTGTTACAAGTTAGTATTTTATATTTTTTGAAAATAATAACAGATGATTATGTGCATTTAGAGTTAAATTATGGGGTAATCTGATTTTGTTTATAATATCCTACCTGGAGTCCTTTTTAGTGTGTGGGGTTACTGCTGGTCTCCTATGGTTTGGCTTAAAGGAGTAGGGGGATGGGCATAGGGTTAACGACCCCAAACAGTAGAAAACGAAGTTGCTGAAAACTCGACAGCTAGAAAGGATCATTTGAATGATTTAAATTCTGCCCTGGTAGTTGAAAGGTCTTCATTTGGAAGAGTTATGATACCTCACGATGAAGACCGAGTTTCTTTGAAAGTTACGAGGCGTAACAGGTGTAAGCTCTTTTTGAAATCGGCATGATAGCTGGCATGGATTAGTTAATTTTAAATAAATTAAGAAAGATTAAAAAGATATAGTTAGTTCATTTTCTTGATCGATATCATTTTCCATGGAATCTACACCAACTTGCTCTGATGAAAGTTAACGACATTGATATCAAATTCCATAGGGATGTTCAGTTCGAACAACACAAATGCATCTAATCAATCTTAGAATTAATCAATCATAATAAGATTCATTCAAAATGCTACGATTGGTTCTTTTTGATTGATAAATGAGAATGAGACCATTAAATTGGATAATGCCATACACTGAGAAACGTAGCTCACATGAACAATTTTTTAAAATTGCGCTTACCTCTCCCGCCTTCACATTTCTTTTGTTTACCACACAATACTACTCACTAATATTCAGTAGCTTATCTTGCTTATAATCGTTTTAAAACAAAAAGTTGCCCAGGTCTCTGTTGTTATCGTTATTTTTAGTAAGTTGCGTGTATTACTGATATGCCACCCATTTTATTGCTGTGATCCTATTACTTTAGCGTTCCTAATAGTTTTTTCTACATCATATTTCTTTGAACAGAGAAATGCGAAGACATATTTTGTGAGATTGTACCATTTCGTGCTTTCTCGTCAGTCACATACAAGCAATATGTTATTTGTGTAAAATGGTTAATCAAATCCATGATTCATCCACCCTAGCCCGTCATCTCAAGATCGATGAAGAAACCCAGCCTCGTCCATTGCAAAACATCTAATGATGAGTGGTCATCAAATTTATCCAAAATCAGCCTTTAGAGAGTTGTGTGACATGTCATCAAAACCCACACACACACTGAAACTACTCGAAGCTATTTTGATTGGTCGGAAAAGTCCAACTTTATGTGGTGTTCGAAAACAACTGTATGTTGACCTTTGTTTACTTACCATGGTTCTAGTGAGTGAATGTCATGCTAAAATAAGAAATTTTGACCTTATCTTCAAAACTGTATTTACACAAATAACATGTTGCTTGTATGTATGTGACTGACGAGAAAGCACGAAATGGTACTATCTCACAAAATATGTCTTCTCATTTCTCTATTCAAATTTATCAAAGGGAACCACTGTTTTGAACATCATATTTGTGTTTATTGAAGATTTATTTAGCCATAACAACTCGCATATATTCAATGTAACCTAGTTTCGTTGTTTCAATTTTGCTACACCGTACCATGAATTTGAATACTTGTATTTGTTTTTATTTAAGTACTTATCACACTTTCTCCTTGATTTTGTTTATCATTGTTTGAGAATAATGATACCATAAACTTATAATCTTCTTACTGTCAAATACTCTTTACACACTTATTCTTCAGTGGTAGTAAATTTGGAAAGTCATGTTTGCACATAAAAATTCTTTTGATTTACGAGTAGTACAATTAGGAATCTATCTCACTTTGAACATATCAACATAAATCTCTAATGCTCTACAAACTAGTGTAACTAAAAAAAAATCACAGTAGTTTAAATTCACTGACTGAACTAAACCATCAGAACTAAACGATTTAATTGTTATCATTCACTCTATGAAGGCATCGTCAACGGGACTGAGTCATGTTAATAGTTGTAGACTGTCAGTTTGAACTAATCAATAGCTAGAGATTTTGAATGGTATGGCTGAAAGTCGTTTACAAGTGCATCCATTCTTTGTCGTCTCCAGAATTCTAATCTGAATTGATCATGACCTTTTCCCTATTTTTAAAATTTAGTTCATTGGATTGTATTTCTCGTACGATGTCGTCGATGGTAGAGACGAGATGCCTGGAGTTGTATTCCTTTTTGGTCATCAAACCCAGTGTAGTTTATGTGGTTGAAGAAGGGAGATGCCCTCGACTTTGTTTGTTGAGAAACCGTACGATAAAGCATGAAGAAAATACTGATGCATAAGATGATGTATGACGGGCAAATGAAACTAACTTGAATATGACTAACATTCTCAACCGGGAGATGTAGCCTAATCGTTGGGGCATGAGGAGCAGAAACATCTATTTTTGGCTGGTTCTCTACAAAGCCCTTTTTTCCGGAATAGCTTGCATTCTGAGAAATAAACAGTTAAATGAATGATTAGAAAGTCAAGTGGAGCATACTAGTAGTATGGTTGTAATCTAGTGGATGCGGTGCTAGCTTTCACTTCTTAGAGAGAGGGACAAGTAGGCCATCAAACCTCTTTCGGCCAAAGATTACACTCGCTTACTTACTTACTTACTTACTTACTCATACCGACCAGCATACTCCAAGTTTCTCTATCTTAGGCCTCGCTGTCCAGTTCTGACCAATTGTTATTCATTCTTCTCATGTCTATCTCCAATTCTCGGCATCATCTGTTCTTTGATCTTCCTCTTTTCATTTCGGCCTTGAAGATTCTAATTGGAAGATTACAATTACTGTTTTCAATATTATCAGTCAATCAATCAATCAATCAATAGATCAATCGATCGATAATAGTAATAATCCTAATCCATATAAACTCTTCTCTCTTATTTCTCTCATAGGATTCACATTTATCATCAATTCATGATGATCAAAATGATTTTATCAAAGAATTCGATGAACAGTATGAACAATTATTGAATGAATATTACATGAATTCATTGTCAATTGCTATTCACCATCACCATCACCATCACCACCACGACCACCTATCTAATGTAGTAAACACTACAAATTTACAATACAGTACAATGATCAATGCAAAACCACAATTCGTTGTTGATTTATTGGAAAGAATAGATTGTTTAAAAAGTAAGATGATCATTCATGCTATAATGCCCTTCTTTTTCTTCCTGTCTTTCAATAATACTGTTAATGTTTAACTATTCTCTGATTGTAATGTGTGTAACAGTTGACTGACGTTATTAGTGTGGTCGCTTCACTCTTCATATGACCTTACTGCTAGAGATGGGAATCTGTGAGGTGTAAGGAGAAGTGTGATATTTTTACGGTCGATCTTCCTTGTGAGAAGGCAGTATCGCTGCAGATGCTGGTTGTCCAAGGGGGAGACACCTTACTGCTGTCACACCCCCTTCTACATTTAGTCGGCAATACGACTTCGCCCTCAGACTTTGAGTAGCTGCTTTTGGCCTTACCTGTTATGTTCGTCGCTTGATATGCTTGAAACTATTACGAGTTCAATTTAGTCGATAAACGAGAACGAGACAATGAACCAGTTTCCGGGTAGGCTACTCTGATCCATTGACCTAAAGGAATTAACGAAAAAGTCTTGATCTAGCGTCCAGAAAGTGTATTCTACAAACACCCAGCCCCAGTACAAAATGATCTCAAGCACACAAATCGCGTTTATTTATCCATCATAGAAACGTTATTGGCAAAGTCACAAAAATAGCACACTAAAATAACACAGCAACTGCTGTAACGCTTGCTTAGATAATTCCCAGCTAATTCCTATTGCTTAGTATTTATTCTCTGACCACAATACACTGGACAAGTTCCAAAGAATCAAAAACACGGTGGAATAAGAAGAGATTATATTCCAAATAGCAAAGTTAAATAGAAATAAGAAGCCGAGGGCGAAGGCAAAATAGATACAACGTTAGTCTATTTATAGCATTTACATGAGAAGCTTCTGGATAGAAATTCACGTAATCGACTGGATTGGATTTAGCCAATCAGCGTGCAGCTAACAACACGAGGACTTTCTACCCTGTTCACTAAGAGTCGATCAGGCGCTGATTGGATAGGTAATTAGCCAATCAGCGCGCAGCTGGCGCAGTCATGCTTCAATCCATCTATGTCCCTCTAACAGGAACCAATCACAGCCAAGGATTACCGTGGTGGGAAATGTGATCTTAAGATCAACTGATCAGCCCATGAATAAAATCCAAAATTAAAACATTTATCAAGCGAGTTCTAGGGATCTAACGTCCCCAACATTACCACTCTCTAGTCTACCTGTGTGTAGCATGTTAGAACCTACAGGAACATATGTTCCAACCAATAGAGCTTCTTATTGAGATCTTTCTGTTTCTTCAATTCAACTCAGTAATAATTTAGAATTCTCCTGAATCAAATACGCATCAAGAACAACCTATATGTATACATGCCTAGCTTCATTTGAAAAAGTAAATAGATGAACGCATATGAGATGAATGAATTATTTAGAGAGTCGGAAATGCTCCTGTTCAACACGCCTGTAGCCACTATTGAGAAGACTGAGGCAGGTGCTGATGATTGTAATATGCAAATTTACACACTCAGTCAATTAAAAACGACAACATTATATTGAACACTCTATTTGCACACCATGCTTGAGTCGTGACTTCCAACGCTCCATCCTTCTTCCATTCTTGTTGTTACTTTCTTTCCTCCCTGTTGGTACTCCATTTACTTATTGCTTTTGCTCCATTTGCTTTCTGTTTTCCTCTTCTGACCGTGAGACTCCTTTATTCACGTCCCTTCTTATACTACTTATATCGTTCGTATAAGTAGCACACACCACATTATATCTCCATTACAAGCGTTGTTGAGTATTTTTTTCGACGCCTTTATTTATTTATAATCTCACTGTTATTATGTTTAGCAGAGGTTTTATCATTATTATTTATTTTTACGATTATTATTATTATTATTATCATTTTGTGAAATCCTCATGTGTCGTCTATGAGTATGCAACTTTGAAAATGAGTTTCATCCTGAAAAAAGAAAACTCTTCACTGAATAATCGATCCTATTACTCAAATAGGTATCTTCCGTTTAGTGAGTGTAATTGTTTTTTTGTCAATAGTAATTGATGGCAGGAGACTTTGAATGGCCATAGTTCAAAATCGTTGATAATATGACGCGCCAGTGCATTCACATTCTTTGTGTTCTCTCCTACTATTCTAATCATTTGAATTCCTAATGACTCCCAATATCTTTTTGTTCTCAAATTTATACCCCTTGAAATAACATCTTCAAACTGTAGTAATATTTCCGATTACTGTTCATACTTCTACTATCTCTACTAGTATGGAATATAAAAATGACAGATAGACAGACAGATACAACGTAGAACTTCGTACGTAAGTACATCAGTTCAAGTTGCCATATCACGTCAGCACAGAGACGTAACTGTCAATTCAAATCCAAGAGTGATAGCGATAGTAGATGTATTAACAGCAATGGAGAAGATTAGGGAGCGAAGATATGATTCGAAAAGTATAATTCAGTGAGATAAATTTGGAAAGAGAAAGGTAGAGATTATGAAGAATTAGGAAAGTTAGAACTAGAGAGAACACAAAGAGTAGAATCATCTGTGCCATTGCAAACGATTCTGAGCCTTGTCATTCAAGGTCTCTAACCATTGGTGACTTTCGTCTCGCGGACCCCAATCAGGTAGTCTACATCTACCAACATGACTCAGTTCACTTGTTAGTGACTTCATAGATTTCTGTCATGTTTTTCTGTTTGGCCGCCAATATGTGCTTGTACAAACATGTAAATTGATAAACGCAATGGCTTATTACGTAACGGTTCTAACCCCTTCCTCCTTTGTGAGAAGACAGCATGGTTGCAGATGCTGATTGTCCGAGGGAAACACCTTACTGCTGTCACACCCCTGTACAGTCAGTCAGCAATATGACTTCGCCCTCAGACTTTGAGCCGCTTCTTTTAGTCTCACCGTCCTCCAGTCGATCTGTCTGGCATGATAGAACTTACAGGAACATATGTTTCAGCCAATATAGCTCGGTTGGGTCATGACGATAGACAAGCCCGACCACCACGTTAAGGTAGCAGCTACGGTCGGTGGGGCATATAAAATTGACGATTTGATCACTCTCTCTCTTTGTGAACTGATGTAGGTACATACATACATACGAAGTTCTACGTTGTTTCTGACTAACTGACTGGATAATTTTACACTATATTTATTATTTTATACTACTTTAAAATATTTTGCAAACTGGCGGTTTACTACCACTACTCTAGTGAACGAGAACACAGGTGGGGCAATCGGATTGTATTTATCGCAAATTACAGAGTTACTCAGTAAAATAGGAAAACCATATCGTAAATGGTTAATTTGCAAAATATCAGTTCATCATCATATCGAACTGGACTGTTCCTGTTGCAAAAAACATCAATCCATTGTCGCTATTCATGCGTTTCATACAAATTCCATTGTGTTCCCACTCTTTTGTTTTCTTGATCTTTCTCCATCTTCTGCTGCCAGACATTACATTGACACTCACGTCATATACTACTTATAAGTAGCTCGCACCACAGTACTACTGATATTACTTATTTCTCACATGTATGAATTAATTCCTTTTCTAAAGAAAATGTTATTATTCTGCACAAATTTATCATTTTCATTGTAGATAATCTTTTATCATCCCGTTGTCAAATCAAAAATGACGACCTAGTAAACAATAGACTGATTGAAATCAACAAATTACATTCGGATGTAGCGAATAAATTCACTGAAACACTTACAGAAAATGAACAGCTACATGTGAGCAGTAGTAGTGAACAAATGGAAACTATTCAAATGGAATTGAATGCATTGAAAGTATGTCTGGAATTGTTTGATAAGTTTTGTAATTCATTTCCTCTTAAATGCTTGCGTTAATTATAGAAAAGATGACTTGGTATGTTGTATATATATCAGCAAACGGGCAATGTAAATCAGTTAGGACATACAGACAGTAACTAGGACAACTGATCTCTATTCTTTTGTGATCCAGCCTAGCTTATTGGAACAAGAAGTTGAATGTTAGTCAGTCAGTCAGTCAGTCAGATACAACGTAGAAAGAACTTCGTACATAAGTACATCAGTTCATGTCGCCATACCACATTATTAGCACAGAAATGTAATTGTCAATTCAAATCCAATAATAGAAGAGGTAGTAAAGGTATTTTAGAAGTAATCGGAGAGGTTAGGATTAGAAGATATTATTCAAGAAGTATGATTCAGTGAGAAAAGTTAAGAAAGACAAAACTACAGGTGTTGAAGAATCCAGAAGATTAGGATTTGAGAAAACACTAACAGTGGATGCACCTGTGCCATTGCGAACGATTTTGAGCCATGTCATTTAGGGTCTCTAACTATTGGTGACTTTCGTCTCGCGGGCCCAAAATAGGTAGTCTACTACACGAACCAACATGAATCAGTCCACTTGTTATTGATTTTATGGATTTGTGCGATAATTTGGTTTGGCCTCACCTAACTTTCTGCCAACACCTATTCCTGCATCGCAAAACATAGCTCGTTGAGGCAGTCGATGGGTTAGGCATATACAAAACACATGTGCCAAACTATTTTATAGAAAAATTGGATTTCACTCAATACTTAATTACTGTTACTTTTGTTGTTGTATAATTTAACACTTACACTTGCACTTGTTCGCTCATCATCCATTTCTTTTACAATGTAGTCAACATTTAAACAATCCAGTGATTTCTTCCAACATGATATTGCAATCGCTGAGCAAAATGAAGTGGAATCAAAAACCAATATGTTGAAAACATCTGCTGAATTATTGAAAAAACGATTAAACGAAACCATTGTAAGTATGAACTGTCATTTTTTTATATAAATTTGCTTTAAAAAAGGCATCAATATACAAATTGTCCATTCGATGTATGTATGTATGTTTGTAAAGTTGATTTTACTGCTTTACTTACTTGCATATGCACGTTACCCCCCAATAGAGAATAGGTCGCCGATGAGCATTCTCCAACCCGGTCTGTCCTAAACCCTTCCTCCCAGTTCTGTTCATTCTTTTCATGTCTGTCTCCATTTCTCGGTGTAATATGTTCTTGTGTCTTGAGCATTCCAAGTGAGGGCTTGTCTTGTGATGCATTTGAATAATTTTTTCGATGTGTGTTCTATCCTCACTTCCAGCACTTCTTCCTGATTTCTTACCCAGCTGGAATCTGGTTTGTGCTTTCGTACAGTAGGTTGTTGCTAATAGTGTCTGGCCAACGGATCCGTAGTATTTTGCGTAGACAACTGTGTTACTGCTTTACCCAATTGAAATTTATTCAGGTGATAAGAATCTCAATTTCATGTTCTGCATAAAAATGTTGGTTAAGGTAGGCTTAATGTATTTGATTTCTTAAGTAGAAAATATGGTTAAAGAAAGTTAATTAAGTAGTATATTGACATACTGAGAAATTTCTTTGAGTGAAATTGAAACCCATCATTTAAACTCATGATGCTATTAGGACTTGTATAGTGTTTTGTGATCTTGATTGGATAATTTCTTTTTTAAAGTTCACGAAGATATTTTTTTCAATAAAAAACTTCGCAACGTTTTCCAGCTGAACAATTCATATAATTGCTTACTTACTTACGCCTGTCACCCTCAATGGAGCGTAGTCCTCCGACCAATATTCTCCAACCTGCTCTGTCCTCTGACTTCCTTCCCAGTTCTGTCCAATTTTTGATCATTTTTCTCACGTCTGTCTCCAGTTCTCGGCCTTCCTCTATTCCTTTTACTCTGAGGGTGTGGGCTTGTGACGCAGTTAGGTGCTTTCTTCAATGTGTGTCCTATTATCCATTTCCAGCTCAATTCATTTAATAGGATGAGAAATTTTCAAATTGTTCCACATTTGTAAATTTAATTTGTTTATCGTGAAGAAGTTTTTACATCATTCTGTTCTCTTGGTCAAAATAAAATCAATTTGAAAACCTTGTTAAAATTAATTTTCGAAAATTATATTTCTTCATTCTGTTTGTGCTTTTGAAAAAAGAAACGTTTTACCGATTTTAATTTGAAAACGGTTTCAACAGACATGAACTGTAATGGCTAAGAGTGAGGAGAGTCCGCTCTTACTCTGCACTTGGGTTCATATGACCATACGAATATTGCCACTACCAGACAAGTCCTACTCAGTACGTTCTTACTACAGGGGTGCTGAAGAAGAATGAATGTGCTTTAACCTGATTGGCAAAACTGTTTTAAACCAATAAAGCACATAGGTTCCAATGTCCTGAAGGTATAAATGGCGTATGGACATATTGTCGGTCACTGGCTACCATCGGACTTCAATTTCTTACATTACTATACTATCTTTTAGATTAAACTTGTGGGTCAAAGGCTTGAGGAGTGGCTAGCCCCCTAAGAAAACCACCTTTTACTAAGAATTGTCTGCTTAAATATTTTAGGATTTACATGATCGGAAAACATTTAATTTTCTATATAAAAAATATATTGTGCCCGAACACATTGTCTAACCTGTGCATTACTAACACGGCGTTGCCACTGAATGTCGGCAATCCTTCTGAAACGAAGGTAATAGAATACAGGAAGCTTTATAATATCTTCAACTCAGAAAGACCAGGTTCCTGAAAAGAAAAACTGCTATCACCGAGGGATTCTAGACAAGACATCATGAAGGCGCCGAAGATGATTCAGGTTGGCATAAACCGCTCTGGCTTTCATTATATGTGACTTGATCTCATCGTCGTCATCATCACCAGCACTTATAACATAGCCATCCAGATGCATGAACTTTTCGATTACTTCTATCTGCTCACCAACAAGAGTGAGTGAAAGTTCAATATCGTACAAGTGTTGTAAAAGTACTTTACATTTAGAAGTTAAGAAGCACTTACCAAACTTGTGGACACTGATGGCCACCTGATTAAGGGCTTAGCTATCATCATACAATGAGACAATATCATCCGCATACTCAAGGTCGAAAGTCTTTTCTGGTAACAGATCCACAACATCATCACCTACATCCATGAAACGTGTTTCTAGAACATCATCATTGATGGTAAAATCGAGGAAGAATCATGAGATTGGGAAACCTAACCTAAGCCCATCGCTTGAATCACAGAATGAAGAGAGTTGATTGTATTTCCTCACTGTGCCTGAGGTGTTTGCATGTAGGGCATTCGGGATGCTAATAAAATTTTCAGACACACCCTTCTTCAATAGACAGTCTCACAGAATAAACCTACCCAAAGGAGATCTTGATATCAAGAAACAACGATTGTTGGACTACGATAAGTGTGGCAGTGTTCTAGCACTTGCCAGAACCCCGTCCGGAGCCCCTCCGGGGCTGCTGCCGGTCCGACGCCCAGATAAAGGGCTTGGGGTTGTCTACGTCATCCCGTAGAAAACTAACTCGCTAAAAAACACCATTAATCTCTGCCCTGAGGTCTTCATTTAGAAGATTTATGACAACTCATGACTGTGGTGATCCAGTTTTAGCAGTTAGATTTACTGAGATCTTAGCCACAGTTTGGGAATTGGGCGTAATCCCATCCAACTGGTCTCAATCCCTAATTGTCCCAGTTTATAAGAATGGACAAAAGTCCTTCTGTGGCAATCACAGAGGTATCAGTTTAACTAACATAGTTTCTTAGTTGTTAGCCTCGATAGTCTTCAGACGCCTTACTAGAGCTCTTGAAGAGCAGACTAGAGAAAACCAGGCTAGTTTTCGACCTGGACGTGGATGTATAGACCACATTCACACTACGCCAGGTCTTAGAACAACGACAAACATTTAGACGCCCCACAATAGTAGTATTTCTTGACTTTAAGGCGTCATTCGACTCTGTCGATCGCGAGGTTCTGTGGCAGTGTCTGTCATTGAAAACGTGTACCACAGAATTACATTAAACTTATACAAGCTCTCTACTTGAACTCGACTGGTCGAGTGAGAGCCTATGGCGAACTGTCACCGGAATTCTTTATTTCAAGTGGTGTCTATCAGGGATTTCCACTCTCTCCATTTTTATTTAACTTTGTGGTAGACATGCTTTTAGAGTTAACGTTATCATCGTCTGGATTTGCAGGAGTGGACCTTCTACCAGGAAAGTCGCTGATCTAGAATATGCCGATGGCATAGTTCTATTCGGTGAAGACGCTGACAAAATGCAGAGTCTTCTGACCACCTTGAGCAACAATGCAAGCATATTCGGGATGCTCTATTTCCCCTCGAAATGCAAAATATTACTTCAAGATTGACTTGCGACGTCACCTCAATAGGAAAGTGAATAACCTGGTGGCGTTTAAAGCGAACGGTAATGTAATCAAGTTCTGTAGTGAACATCAAATCCTAACTAGGACGAAACATGCGTTCTAAATCTCCACAGCTAACCACAGTCCATCTCTGCTTATAATGCATGTGACCTAATGACCAAACGTGAAGTTGATCAATTACAATCTTAGCTAACACTAAGAAGATTTTAATAAATTTATTCACTGTTATTTCTTCCTATTCACTTTTTTTTATCAGAAATTAATTGATAAACTTGAAAAATTCACGGATGAAATCAATACCACTGATATTTATGATTATTTGTTGCGATATTTCAAATTCGACAACCACATTGACAATAGATTTCCATTTGAAATGCCTGAATCAAATCATCTATCCATGTTATTTATGACAACTATTCCATTATGGTATAAACAAACTCAATTAAATGATGAGATTATCGATTTTTTGGAATATTTAACTAATCATCGTGAACAATTATCATTTGGTTATGAAATGGCAGAACGTTTAAATACATGGTTATCAGTAAGTTTGATAATGAAATATGTTGGTTTTTTTGCGGGCAGGGGGTGGGGAATGAAAAAATCGATAACCACCAAGTTGTTGTTGTTGAAGCATTTCAAATGATGATAACGTGTCATGAACAAAATTTGACTTGATAATTTCACACACAGAAATCATGATCACCATTAGAAACCTGGAAGCACTGGACAGCTGTTTCGAACTGGTATCGGGCTCATTAGCAGTGTGCATCCATGATTCCTGCTACTCTCCGGATTTGAACTCAGTATCTTCGATCTTGCTCGCGAACTTCTATCCTCCAGGCCACTGATATTTCGTGATTCAATGTAGACACTACTACACAAATTAAATTAACCTAATTTGAGATGATGGAGAAAATTTGTAGCTGAGATGGATGAGTATGGTGGTGTTTCGTTCTCTGGGGTAGATGTTTTTGGTTGTGGAGCTTTCATTGATCCTTCTGAACACTATCATCATAATATATCATCGACACCCGAATCTTTTTAATTACCGTTATTACTACTGCTCTCCTTTGAATTCAACGCAGTCATCAAAGTTGTGAAAGAGCGACGACGAACTTAATGTAACCACTAAAAAGTGTTATTTACTAAAATTTGACTTGATAACTTCGAATGAATTGAGCATCGCGTTAACTGTTAATTATAAAGGTTATATGTTTATGATATCTCTATGACTAGAAAAGTTTCAAATGAATTAAATTAATCCAAGTCTGAATAGTATAAATGAGCAGAGGAAAAATATTTAGTACAGTAGTCTACAGGTTAAACATTCTTTTACGAAACTGAAGGTAATGGGTTCGATTTCGGGAATGTGTGATTTGTGTATGCACACTATTAATGGGTTTGATACCTAGAAAGAAATGGCCGTCTTGCAGCAAGCAGTTCCAGGTTTCCAATAGTAGTAGTGGTCTAACATTGATCGATTCATAATTTCAATGAACAATGCAAAGTAACTATTGATATTGCTTTTTCGATTAATCGGAGGATTGATTTGAAAAAAAAATAGGAAGCTTATTTTCTCTGTTAGCAACACCTCTTAGTACCTCGGTCGCCACTGCCCAGCATTACGCGTCGTACCGAGTTACTTTGGGATTCTGTTGGAATAAAGTTGCACCTAAATGAAGAAATTTCACTGTTTCATGAAAACTGCTAAGTCGTTGAGTTAGCTACACCGTGAAATTTCCTACATATGTACATCAGTTCAAGTTGCCATTCCACATTAACACACAGAGATCGAATTGCTGACTTAAGTTCCGTAGTGGCAGATGTCGTAGAAGTATGAGCAGTAGTCGAAAAGATTAGGGTTTGAATAAATTGTTCAAGCAGTATGTCGCCGTAGAAATAAATTTAAAAAGAGAAACATTAGAGGTAATCAGGAATTCTGAAGATTAAGGTTTAAGAGTACACAATGAACGGATGCGCATGCGCCATTAAAAAAGCCTCTGACCATCGGTTAGGATTACTGTTTTGCGGACCCCAACCGGGTAGTCAGTCTACACCTAAAAACCTGGCCCAGTCCACTTGTGAGTGACTTCAAGGATTTGTGCCATGTTTTGATCTGGCCACCTCTAGCTTTCATCTTACTTATCCGTATATATATATATCGAGGCAGTCGGTTGTTGGGCATGTAGAATCCGAGGTTTGGACTGAGAAATAACTGCCGAGGTAGTTTAGATACGCGCTATTGTCCAGTTGAAACCAAAACAAAGTGATTGGGTACATGACGGTTCTAATATTCGTCACAATTATAAATGTACATCATTACCTAAACAAATATTACCACTCAGTTATTCCAACGACGATTGTTAAATTAATCAAATCCACAGCAACAGATAACTGATATTTTGTCCTTCGAAAGATAATATTTGGTCGCTTTATAACACAGTGTTCCCAATTCTTGAAGAGTGCTTCAATTCACAATCAAAATGTACAATTCCAGTCCAAGCAAACAACACAATCAAAAGAGGAACAAATCAATATGGCTGTCGTCATGACTAAGTATCAACTTAAACGACATAAATGCAGTTCGAAAAGAAACATAGAAACTCAGTGGAGGCAAAAGAAATAGAAACTATAATAAAGTACAGATATCATCATCTCATAATGGGATTGAACAGATTAACATAGTGTACAACTGAAGGATTCAATGGAGGGATTTTCACGAATAGAGCCTTCCAAAATGGATCTTACAGAGCATACGTAACACTCGTAACAGCACACGATTCTAAACTAATCACAATCAAATGATTACTACACTTCTTAATAACTTGCTTATCTCCACTACCATGTACAAATGCTAACCATCTCAACTGATGGAGATTCAATACTTCATCTATTGATCTGCCATTATCCGTATCTAGTACTCGTTTCCTAACACTAGCATTGTTTACTCAGTGATCCCAGGATATATAAGCAATGCTTCGAAGTCACCTATGTTCGACTACTAGTAAACTCGGATTGACCGTCTACTCTTATTGGTCATGTTTCACAACCAGATAATAGGAAAGAGCAGACTGCTGCACAATAGACTCGTGCTTCATTTAACAGATAGATAAAACTGCTGAACTTATGAACTTATGATTACATTTTATCCCGTTATCCTGATATGATTTATCCATTAGAACTGATTGGTCATTTGTTTACGGGTAGGAAGGATTTGATTTCGACCAGATTGGTCTCTCGTGCTGTTACGGGTATGAGGGCGGTTGTCCTTTCCCGGCTACCCACAACGTGGAAGGTTGTTTCTTGAAGGACCTGAAAAGGAAGGTAGATTTGCGTTGATCTTACAGACCTGGGAGCGTGACCGCAGAGTCCAAGAGACAACTGCTTGAGGCCATTCACGCACGGCCTTTTTATTAAAGGTTTTTTGAGTATTAGCTCCGTTCTTAAAGGCCCTTAGTGGGTACCCTTACCCAAGGAGACGGAAATCCGTGAGGTAGGGTGAGGTTTGACATTTTTAGGGTCGACCTTTTCTAACCCTTCCTTCGTTGTGAGAAGGCAGCATCGCTGCAGATGCTGGTTGTCCGAGGGAAACACCTTACTGCTGTCACACCCCTCTGCAGTCAGCAGTACGACTTCGCCCTCAGACATCGAGTAGCTGCTTTTAGTCTCATCGTTCTCCAATCGACCTGCCTGTCATGGTAGGACCTGCAGAAACATATGTTCCAGCCAATATAGCTCGGTTGGGTCATGACGATGGGCAAGCCCAACCACCACGTCAAGGTAGCAGCTACGGTTGGGTCATTTGTTTACTCATGCCCTCCATTGATCGATCATACATCAAATAGATGAATGCAACAGTTTTACAAAAACTTTTTTTAAAATAATAGAATGTTTTCTTCTCTAATAATCTTATCTTTTTCTCTCTTTTTTTTCTTCAGATCACACATCCTAGAATGATTAGATTAAAAATGAAATTACAACAATTCAATATAAAATTAACGAATTCAACGAATGACTATGATAGTCTTTGCTCACTTTTACATGACGTAACAGTAAGTATATATATATATATATATATATATATATATATATATATATGATAATAATAACAATCTTCATAAGTCTATACTAAAAAAATCGTACAATGTACACTCACCAGCGACCATTGGTTTCGTAAGAAAATTCTCAGAGTTCTAGTCAGATGACGTGACCAGTGGAGTTTTAACTCACTGTCAAGTAATGAATGAGTCGCCGAAGAAAATCGGTGGAGTTAAGCAAAATTAGATTAAGATTTGACATCAAACATTGTTGGTTGTCGGCTCACGTCTCTAGAGGCTAAGCGTTCGAGCACAAAACCGAAGGTCCTGGGTTCGAATCCTGCGGGTAACAAGACTGGTAGATTCTCACTGCTGATGAGTTCCATTCTAGGCCAAAACAGCAATCCAATAATTCCAGGTTTTTAATTGTGGTCTAACAATGACTGACTCATAACTAGAGTTGTTGTAACGCTTGCTAGAATAATTTCCAGCTAAATCTTATTGCTGAGTATTCTCTGACCACAATACACTGGACAAGTTCCAAAGAATCAAAACACGGTTGAACAGGAAAAGATTATATTCCAAATAGCAAGGTTAAATGGAAATAAGAAGCCAAAGGTGATGGCGAAGGCCAACATAGATACAACGTTAGTTTATTTATAGCATTTACATGAGAAACTTCTGGATAGAAATTCACATGATAGACTGGATTATATTTAGCCAATCAGCGCTCAGCAACGTAGTCATGCTTCTAATTCCATCTACGTCCCACTAACAAGAGTATAAAAGTGTCTCTTCTGAAGCTAGTGTCGGTTGTCCAAGTACCACGAGGTTGTAAATTTTCATTTCTGTAACAACTTGGATGACTCTACCTGTCTCCCAAAATGTACGAAAATTCCATGTACCTATATTAATTCTTGCTCTGGTTGTCAGAAAGAGCATCGGCCTCGTGACTTCCGAGGGGACTCAACTTTCATTCTGAGACGTCATAAATATTCTAAATGGAAGATCTTCCAACTATCAGGACAGTTTAGCATTTTTTTCTAGCAACCTTATGTCTGACCCTCTTCTTGTAAATTCCAGTAACCACAGAGGGACCCAAGACGGAGTAAGCAACTGGTCAATACGTTGAATCAATTGTGTGGTTACAGGTCCTGGGTTCGAATCCTGCGAGTAACAAGACTGATGGACTCGCACTGCTGATGAGTTCCATACCAGGACGAAACGGCCGTCCAGTGCTTCCAGGTTTCTAATGGTGGTCTAACATTGATCTAAATGAATAAAAAAACATGAGTGATATCACTGATTGCAATACTTTTAGGTGGCATGTGTCACGCATGCACTTAAACACGTCATTCTGATATGCTCCAACTATTACGGGTTAACCTTAGTCGGAAAACGAGATCGAGGATCGAGAAATCCGGCAAACGACTTGCCGCTCTAATCCGACTGTCCCAATTCCACCCATTGAATAAAATAAGAAAACTTGATATGAAGTAGAATCTGTATTCTAAAAGCATCCAGAAGGCATGAGGTCCGAGTCCGGGTCATAAAATGTTACGGATAATGCATATTTATACATTTAGGTCGAATAGGAATACAACATTTGAAGTCTGTGATATTGATAGTTAGGACGACCAATAGGAATGGACCAATAGAATTAGACTTGTAGTGAAGGAGAACACAGGTGAGGGCAACCGAATTGTATTTAACGAAAATTACAGAGTTACTCAGTAAAATTGGAAAACCATATCATAAATCGTTAATTTGCGAATGTTCAATCCATCATCAATCCATTGTCTGACATTTCACTTATTCATGCATTTCATACAAATTCCCACTTCCTTTCTTGATCTTCCCCCATCTTCTGCTGCCAGACATTACGTTGACACTCACGTCATATACTACTACTTATAAGTAGCGCGCACCACAGACTTACAAAAATAATTCTCTTAGGATATTTGATGATGAATTTTCCTAACAACATGACAACGTGGAGTTTATCCTCAGTCGTACATATATATATATATATATATATTTTTTCAAGAAATACATGAAATTTATTTTAATTTCTATCCCTTCCTTTTCTTTTGTTTCAATCTTTTAGTTGTATAGACTTGAACTATTCACTTTACTACCAATGTGTCAATCTATTCGTAATGATATCAATCAATTCAAGAATGTAATGGTTCATTTGAATGAAAACCAAACAACAACAACACTCATCGACAACGATAACAACAACAAGGATAAAATAGAACAAATCTTTTCTTTCAATAATTATGAACATGAAGCATCACTGAACAATCATCATTCAGTTATTCATCATGTTGAACAACAAATTATGACAATAATAAATGATTGTAAAAAGCTGTTTACAGAATCATCTGTTTATTTAGTAAGTGTGTTTTTGTTGATTGAATTCGATTGAAATGAAAACAGCAGCCAGCAGCAGTAGCAGCTGTCATCATCATCGTCATTTCTTCCATGTCATAACAATGTGGCGAGCTGTGAAACTCATCAGCTGGGTGTACATACTACCTGTCACATCTCTCTGAGTTGATGTTCACTTTGAGACTTGAACTCCAGTCAGTACCTTACGTGTCAAACATCATCATGTTATCTGTATAACCACTTGGTTGTGTTCAGTGAAGCGAAATGCGTTTCTTGAATACTACTGCTAATTTCCATGAATGATAATGTATTATTGTTAATGAGACTATAATTTCAGTCAGTCAGTCAGATGCAACGTAGAACTTCGTACGTAAGTACATCAGTTCATGTCGCCATACCACATTAGCACAGAGATGTAATTGTCAATTCAAATCCAATAGTAGAAGAGGTAGTAAAGGTATTAGAAGTAATCGGAGAGGTTAGGATTGGAAGGTATTATTCAAGAAGTATGATTCAATGAGATAAGTTAAGAAAGTCAAAACTAGAGGTATTGAAGAATCTAGAAGACTAGGATTTGAGAGAACACAGGGAATAAATGTACCGGCGCCATTGCAAACAGTTTTAAGCAATGTCATTCAAGGTCTCTAACCATCGATTATTATGATCTCGCGGACCCCAACCAGGTAGTCGACAATTACCAACATGGCTAAGTCCACTCGTCAATGACTTCATTGATTTCTGCCATGTTTTGGTTTGGCCGCCCAGATACTATACTTTATGGCCTACTCACGTATGCCTAACTTCCGACTGCCTCAACAAGCAATATTTTGTGGTGTAGGAATATATTGGAAGAAAACTAGGGGCGGCCAAACCAAAACATAGCACTGATAACTGGACTAAGCCATGTTGGTAGGTGTATGTAGACTACCAGGTTGGGGTCTGTGAGACATTAGTAACCGATAGTTAGACACTTCGAATGATATTGTCCAATTTAGTTTGCAATGGCGCAGATGCATCCATTATTTCTCCTCTCTAGAATTTTAATCTGAGTTCCTTTTACCTTTATCTCAAATTTGGTTCACTGGATTATTACTTCTTGAATAACATGTTTGAACCCTAATCTTCTCCACTACCACTAATACTACTACTATCTCGAACATTATGGGATTTAGGACGGCAGTTGCTTCTCTGTGTTAATGTGGTATGGTAACTTGAATAGATGTATATACGTACGAAGTTCTACGTTGTAACTGATTGACTGACTGACTTACTAGAGTTAAAATAAGGTCATACATTACCTATGAGGACCCCAACCTGGTAGCCTACAACTATCAACATGACTCAGTTCACTTGTCAGTAACTTTATGAATTTTTGTCATGTTTTGGTCTGGTCACCCCTAACCTTCTTCCAACCTATTCCTACACCAAAAAGCATTTCTCGTCGAGGTAGTCGGTGGTTGGACGTTCGTAACACATGTTCCAACCACCTCAACTGATGAAGTTTCAATACTTCATCTATTGATTTGCAATCTCCACCTAGTACTCGCTTTCTATTGGCAGCATTGCTTACTCGGTTATCCCAGGAAATACGAGCAACTATTCGAAGACATCTGTGATCGAATACTTATAACCTACGAATATCGTCTACTCTCACTGACCATGTTTCACATCCATATAGAGTAGGTCGGAGCGAACTGGTACGCAGTAGACTCGACCTTTGGTTACCAAACGAATATCCCACCTACTCCATAAATGACGTAAATTGGCAAAAACCAATCGAGCCTTCTGTATGGATGCCGTACGGCTGTACGGCTGCCCTTTGTACACACCGCCCATACAAATGCCCCCGTCTGTCCCTCTTAACCATTACTTTGGATCCGAAAACCAACAAAATAGAACCAATGTCCTATTTCATTATTCCATGCAAGAATTTTCAGGCGCATAGGCATGCTTTGAGCACTCAAATTTGTTCAAAGTAAAGATGCCGTCCGCTCCCGACACCGGGTTAAAGGCATCCGGAAGCATGCCAAAAGGACAACAAGACAAGCTCATCATCCCATCAACACCCGTAATCATAGACACGGCTGAAAGGCTGCATAGTTACTACACCTAGCCGAACACAGGTCCTGATCGTAACCAAAACCGCGAACAAGCAACGGTATGCCACTGCACAACCCAGATTCAACTACGAGCTTTTTAACTGCAGCAACTTTGACACACGCTTTTGGAGCTGGAGTTACCGCGGCCGCTGGCATCAGACTTGCCTTCCAAGATAAGTGATGAGTGATCAACTTCTTCACTCCCTATCACTCACTAGTTTCTAAAACTAACAAATTTACAGGCAATTATTATTATGATTATAGTTCAAACGTAGGTTCATAAGAACTAAGACTTGAAACCCTAATACCCTAATTGTTTACTCTTATCAAAAACACGTGATCTCTACTGAAAACACTCTTTAATGCATTGATATATATTTTGTATATTTTTTCTTTTTCGCATGTATATTTAGTCAACTTTAAGAATACAACTCATTGATGATCCGCATCACATTCCAATGGTATTCAATGAATTGATACATTTGCTGAATGAATTCAAGTGTTGTTTCAATGCAAAATTTGTCAACACTTCGTCTGCTGAAGAAGCATTTCCTATAGACAATAATGAGACAAGTCACAATTTATCCATTGTAGAAAAAAATGTTAATTTTCATCAAAATAACTATTGGTCAAAAGTCAATTGTATAGAGGTATGATAAATTGTTATTGATTTTGTATATGTGTATAAAATAGAGAATAGAATTTGTAGGTGGTGGATGATTATGATAATGGAGTGTTTTGTTTTGATGGTCGTGTGGAGCTTTCATAGTGTGAAGTGAAGCATTTTTTGAATCACTATACACCACTGGACTTGTAGCTTTGTCCTGTTGACCTCATTCTTGATTGATTGTCATACATACACACAAACACACACACACACCCTTAACATGTCATTATTTGTATCTTTATTTCAATTGTATCCATAACGCATTTTCATAATCCGGTCGAGGGGCGAGGGCGAAGTCGTACCGCTTACTGTAGTAGAGCAGTGTGACGGCAGTAAGCAGTTTTCCTCAGATAACCGGCATCCTCAGCGATACTGCATTCTCAAAATGGTGGAACGGGTTAGAAACAGTGTTATAATGCTGCTACGTAGCTATTCAAATCCTACCGACGTCCGAATTCAAATATTCCAATACGACCCAATTACTATTCCCCAAACCTCCTATATATCAGAATGCAACACCGTTGGATGGAGTTGTTTATTGGGTCGAGTACAGAAGAGAGGAAGGTGGGAAGAAACGTAATCGGAATCATGAAGTCTTACAGATAGTGCGTATTTATACATTTAGGTTGAATAGGAAAGAGCATCAAAGTCTGTGAAATTGACAGTTTAGGACGACGACCAATAGGAATGAACATTTGAAATGAATGACATTGGCGGTCCGGATGACCAATAAGAGGCAACATTGAAGTATTTGACTTTGACAGTTAAAACGACCATAATTTTGACCAACAGAAGTCGATCAATAGGATTATACTTCCAAAAATAGTAGTACTCTTTGGGATATTTGGTGAATATCGTAACAAACAGTCGACCGTAAAAATGTCACTTTACCTCATGGATTTCCATTTCCGGTGGTAGGGCCATTTGAAGAGCTAAGCTAACACAATACAATCTTTTCATAAAAGAACCATGACTATGTTCTCAGGCACACCGTAGTGTCAAAGAAGCCTCCACAGTGTTTTCCTATCCACGCTATCGAATGCTCTCTCGTAGTCGATGAAGTTGATGTAGAGTGGTGGTTTTCATTCAAATGATTGTTCCACAATGATACGTAATGTAGCAATTCGGTTAGTACACAATCGATCCTTAGGAAATCCAGCCTGTTGATCTCAAAGTTGGGTGTCTACGAAGTCGTTCATTCTGTTTAAAAATACCCTGTTGAAGACTTTGCCTGGTATTGAAAGAAGAGTGATGCCTGTGTAGTTCTCACACTTGATGAGATCGCCTTCCTTTGGTATTTTGATCAGGTATCCTTCTTTCCAATCTGAAGGTTCTTGTTCCTCATCTCAAATCTTCTCGAAGAGGATGTGAAATATTTTCGCAGTTGCTTCTACATCTGCTTTGATTGCCTCTGCTGGAATGTTGTCTGGTCCTGCTGCTTTGCCGCTCTTGATTTGTCTGATGGCCATACTGATCTCCTCAATTGTAGGTGCACCAATATTAATTGGGAGGTCCTTGGATGCTGCTTCGATGTTGGGTGGGTTCAGTGGAGCTGATCGATTCAATACCCTGTTGAAGACTTTGCTTGATAATCGAAGTTTTGCTATTTGGGTTAACCATAATTTTCACCCACTGACTGAGTAGTGGGTGTATGATTAGACGGGGGAGGGTAGGCAATCTGATTTTGAAAAAAACAAAATCTGGTCAGGTACCATTGGAAACCCTTACCTAAGAGAAGCTAGCGCTCGACGTATGCAAATAATAGTGTCAATAATCACTTGATACGAAGGAGGTTTCGATACGACAGCTTCGTGGTTAAATGATTCGAATCTTAGCTATTGAATGACATGTTCTAACTGCTCTTTATTATACTTCAATTCAAACAGCCGGTTAATATGAGTAATTGACAAACTGAGTACAAAAATCCGTAGTTAATGCCGCTGTATTACATGGTATTGTTACCATTGTGTTTAATGTTATTTAATGAGCGAATATTAATTAGTTTACACTCGGTCAGATCAGATCAGATCAGATCAGATCAGATTCTCTAATCATGTGTTACAATAGTTCAAGTTCTATAAAGATCCATTGATTGATGCATTATTATTCTCCGTTTTATTTTATTAATTACAGATATGGTTTAATGAATTGAATTCCATGCAAAATGTACTTGATATTATTTCCAATAGGCATTGTTTAGTCAGTGCTACTATTCATAATGATAATAATAATGATACCGACAAAATAGACATTGAAAATGAAGTAAAACAGCTCAAATTGAATATTGAACAACAATATTGTAATTTAACTAAAACGAAAATTCAACTGACCAATGAAATAAATCAGGTGATTTTTTTTGTTTTGTTTTGTTTTAAGAGTACTCCTACTTATCTGGATATTAAGTTTGTATTCTTCTTTTTTTAATTCACGATTTTCGGGTAGTACTTTATTTAAATGTGTAGTTAAAAGGTGTATATTATTGTTGAAATCATGAATGAATCATTGTTTGACCACCAGCAGAAACGTCGGAGCATTAGACGACCGTTTCGTCCTGGTATGGAACTCATCGGTAGTGCTCATTCGTGACTCCTGCTACTTGTAGGAGTCGAATCCAGGACCTTTGGTCTTGCGCACGAACGCCTGACTTCTGGACCACTTAGCCAGAGATAGTCAATTGAACACCGTTGGATGACGGCTCAGTCCGCTAGAGATTAAGCGTTCGCCCTATGTTTGAATTCTACGACTAGTAGGAGTCGTTGATGCGCAATTTTGATGAGCTCCATATTAGGATGAAACGACCATACAGTACTTTCGGGTTTTTAATTGTGGTCTAACATTGATTGGTTCATGGTTCCAATGTAAAACAACAATCTCCATCACCTCTTAATGAAAAGTCCGATTCTAAGTATCAAATAGGATAGAGAAGTTGAATGTACTATGATGATATTGAAGTTTACTTACTAAATACTAATTTCCTTGGGGGCAGCCAATTGTATTCCATCTCTTCCATTTATATGTAATAATAGGGTTTAAGCTGTGTAGTCCTATTTTTGCATGTTTTAATATAGACAGAGTTATTTTCATATGAATATCGCATGCTTCTGGTGTACAACACACTACAAAAGGCTCGATTGGCTTATTCCAACTTTGCTGACTAAAGGATGAGTATACTGCGCATCAGTTCGCTCTGTCCTTTTATATGGATGCGAAACACGACCATTAAGAGTAGAAGACATTCGTAGGTTATAAGTATTCGATTATAGATGTATTTGAAGAATTGATCGTGTACTCTGCTGCGACAACCGAGTAAGCAATACTGTCGTTACGAAACGAGTACTAAGCAGGGATGGCAGGTCAATAGATGAAGTTGTGAAACTTCGACGAGTTATATTTTGTGGTGTGGTTTGAGTCATGCTGGTAGGTGCATGCTTACCTGGTTGGGGTCAGCGAGACGAAAGTCATCGATGGTTAGAGACCTTGAATGACATGGCTCAGAATCGTTTGCAATGGCGCAAGTGCATTCACTCTTTGTGTTCTCTCAAATTCCAATCTTCAGGATTCCTCATCATCTCTATCTTTCTCTTCCTAAAGATATCTCACTGAACTACACTTCTTTAATGATATCTTCGCTCCCTAATCTTCTCCATTGTTGCTAATAATTCTACCATCGCTATCACTCTGGGATTTGAACTGACAGCGGCATCTCTGTGCTAACGTGGTATGGCAACCTGAACTGACGTACGCACGTACGTACGTACATACGAAGTTCTACGTCGTAATTGACTTGACTGACAGCATACTACTCACTACATCACCATGGGAAGAAAAGTACATACATACATAGTTTTCAATCATATTTTATGTTCTATTTACCAATAAATATCTCTTTATTTTCTTGAAACTAGCAAGCAACTAATTGTATAATGATCAAACATCTTGTAAGCTTATTTGTTGTCATTGTTTTTGATAGAACAACCTTTCTTAAAAAAAAACGTAATGTTTACACAAAATAAATTCGTTGTTACTTTGTCGTTATCACAATTTCCATTGATTCATTAATATTTATTGATACTTGATATACATATTGTCACTTGATATGCATATACTACTTATTTACTCATGTTATTCTATTCCTAATTGAAAGTGTAAGCCACTCATTGATCAGCATTCGCTAACCTACTCTGTCCTGTTGTACATTCCTTTCCAATCCCACCTAATTGTAGTTTATTTCTTTCATGTTTGCTTTCGATTCTCGACGTAATGTGTTCTTTCTCTTCACCTTTGGCCTTGGGGATTCCGAATTGAGGCTTGCTTCGTAAAACAGTTGAGTAATTTACGCTAAGTGTATTCTATCCAGCTCCACCGGTTCTTCCTGATTTCTTCCTCCTCTGGAATCTGGTTTGTTCTCTCTCAAAATAGGTTGTTTCTGATAGTGTCTGGCCAATGTATCTGAAGTATTGTGCGTAGACAACTGTTAATCGACACTTGTATCTTCTGGTTGATGGCTTTAGTAGTTATTCAAGTATCCATTCCATACAGTAAAAGCGTCTTGACATTTGTATTGAAAATTATGACTGTGGTGTTGATTGATAGTTTTTTTGAGTTGAAGATTTTCATCAGTTGTAGAAATGATGCCTTTGTCTTACTAATCCATGTCTTCACATCTGCATCAGATTCACCTTATGTATCAATGATGTTGAAGTTAGCGGCGGCCAAACCAAAACATGGCAGAAATCCATGAAATCATTGACGAGTGGACTCAGCCATGTCGGTAATAGTCGACTACCTGGTTGGGGTCCGCGAGATGTTAGTATTCGATCGTTAGATACCCTGAATGCCATGGCTCAAAATCATTCGCAATGGCGCCGGTGCATTTATTCTTTGTATTCTCTCAAATCCTAATCTTCTGGATTCTTCAACACCTCTAGTTTTGTCTGTCTAAACCTTTCTCACTGAATCATACTTCTTGAATAATATCTTCTAATCCTAACCTCTGCGATTAATACCTTTACTACCTCTTATACTATTGGATTTGAATTGACAATTACTTCTCTGTTCTGATGTGGTATGGCAACATGAACTGATGTACTTATGTACGAATTTCTACGTTGCATCTGACTGACTGATCAATGATGTTGACCAGGTATATAAAGGTTTCTACATCCTTCGAAGCCTATATGTGAAATGTCATTTGGTTGATGCATACTGTCCTAACCTCTATCTTTCTCTTTCTAACTTTATCTCACTAAATTACACCCTAATCTTCTTTATTACTGCTAATACTTCTACTATCGCTACTACTCTTGGATTTGAACTGACGGTTGCATCTCTGAGATGATGCGGTATGACAACCTGAACTGATGTACATACGTACGAAGTTCTGTGTTCTATCTGTCTGTCTGATGCATGGTGTGTTGTATCGGTCTCTGTTGTGGATAATGCAATTGCACACACACACACACACACCAAAGTTGTCTAGAATAACATTGAACTGTATTTAAAATTTAAACATAATTCATTTCATCCATTTTATTATATAAAGGAAAAGAAATTACGCACTTCATTGATTACTTATTCTACTTGGTTAACTCAATCGAATGATAAATTAATTCAACTTGCTACACCGAATCATTTAAATTTGAATGATACAATGGAGGAGAAGGAGGAGGAGGAGAGTGCATGGGAAGAGTTTAAAGTAGGTGTATTGTTCTTGGTTTTTTTTGTGTGTATATGTTGTGTTTTGTACCTTTTAATATTGTCTGTTTATTCTTATTTAAAAACTGTGACTTATCAATGCTTATTGGTCTGTTTATGTTTACGTATGTAGTGTGTAGTGTAGTGCACAGAAGCACTGCTTGTTCTCTGGACATTGGATAAGTCTACTCTCAGTGATTGATTCCCTTCTAGCTACTACTACCAACCGTAGCTTCTACCTGGTCGTGGTGGTCGAGCTTGATTATCGTGATGACCCGACCGAGCTATATTGGCTGGAACATATGTTTCTGTAGGTTCTACCATGCCAAACAGGTCGACTGGAAGATGGTGAGACTTCCATGCAGTAACTCAAAATCTGAGGGCGAAGTCGTACTGCTTACTGTGGAGGAGCGTGACGGCAATAAGGAGTTACACTCAGATAACCGGCATCCGCAACGATACTGCCTTCTCAAAATGGAGGAAAGGGTTAGAAACAGTGTTATAATGCTGCTACATAACTATTCAAATCCTACCGACGTCCGAATTCAAGTATTCCAATACGACCCAATTACTATTCCCAAACCTCCTATATATCAGAACGCAACACCGTTGGATGGAGTTGTTTATTGGGTCGAGTACAGAAGAAAGGAGATAGGCAGGAAGAAACGTAATCGGAATCGTGAAGTCTTACAGATAGTGCGTATTTATACATTTGGGTCGAATAAGAAAGAGCATCAAAGTCTGTGACATTGACAGTTTAGGATGACCAATAGGAAAGAACATTTGAAATGACATTGGCGGTCCGGATGACCAATCGGACACAACATTGAAGTATTTGACTTTGACAGTTGAAACGACCATAATTTTGACGAATAAAAATCGATCAATAGGATTATATTTCCAAAAATAGTAGTACTGTTAGGATATTTGGTGAATATCGTAACAAACAGTCGACCGTAAAAATGTCACTTTACCTCATGGATTTCCATCTCCGGTGGTAAGGCCATTCAAAGAGCTGAGCTAACACAATACAATCTTTCCATAAAAGAACCGTGCGTAACCTGCCTGAAGCAGTTTGCCCGTCGGACTCTCCAGTCACGCTTTCAGGTGGCTCAGACCAACGGTAATCCGATTTCTTTCTCAGGTTCTTTAAGAAGTACCGTTCCATGGTGTGGATAGCCGAGAAAGTGACATCTACCCTCATTCCCGTGAAAGCACACAAGACCAAATTCACCATAATCCATAAATCCTTCGTATTCCTCTAACAAGCTAATGAGGGTTATTTATAAAGTTACTTCTTGATCCTAGGGTTTTAGAAGTTTTGTGAACTATATAAAAAATCTAGTACTGATATATATAGCTAAATATCCTATCAGATTCGTAGTACATGATTTGTTGCATTTTTCATATGTTTCTGCGATGATTTTATTCAGTAGTTTTTCGGTCTCTGCACTGACTTCCTAAACAGAAATCAATAAATGTGTTTTGTGTTGACCAAATTTCAAATTCCGATAGGTTATGAAAAACAAATCATTCATTATGCTGTAAAATAACTTTGACAACCTTATAGAGAGTATACGAATTGCTGTAAAATAAAGAGTATAGATCCTAAGTTGAGAAGATGATTTTCAAAACTAAACATTTGAATATGCTGTTAATAGATAATTAATTCACTTAAAGCAACTGTTATAATTCTCTCTTTATATATTATAACCCAGCTATTATTCCTAATGCTTAGTAGTATTCTTGGACACCACCAATTCATTGCAGACGTTCACCCTAAAATCAGAAACACGGTTGATCAGAAACTATAGAGATTATATTCCAATAACAAAATTAGATGGAAGTCAGAGAAGTTCAAAATGTTAGGTATATTTATAGTTTTTCTTACATGAGAAGATTCTAGAATGTTCTCTTAGTATCGGCTAGCGCTGATTGGATACGAAAGAGCCAACCAATCAGCGTGCAACAAACAGCACAATCATGCTTTAATCCTAACTAACTAACTAATAATTCTTCACATTAGTTATCCTGATCAATAACACAAACTTTCGATGTAAAGATCATCAAAAAGCTTCATAATTATAATCTATCTAGCGTTCAAACAAACAAGAAAAAAACACCACATGACTTCCATGCTTGTTTAAGTCATCCCTATGGTCGTATAACTATACAGCCAAGAATGTAGAGAGCCTACTTTTCCTCTCCGAATACACTCGTACAGCCACTGACAGGAGATTAATTACTAATCCACTTTCTTCATAAGATAGGGATGTTCATGAGTGTAAAACGAATGTCTGACGCTTAAACTGTGTGTTGATTGTCACAAAAGATAAACCTAGAAGAGTTATAGATCACTCAATCTAAATCATTAATTAGTACAGATATAAAGTCTGACGTGGTGGTCGGGCTTGCCTATCGTGATGACCCAACCGAGCTCTATTGGCTGGAACATATGTTCCTGTAAGTCCTACCATGCCAGGCAGGTCGATTGGAGAACGATGAGACTAAAAGCAGCTACCCAAGGTCTGAGGGCGAAGTCGTACTGCTGACTGTACAAAGGTGTGATAGCAGTAAGGTGTTTCCCTCGGACAACCAGCATCTGCAGCGATGCTGCCTTCTCACAAGGAAGGAGGAGTTAGAAAAGGTCGACCCTAAAAGTGTCACACCTCACCCTACCTCACGGATTTCCGTCTTCCGGCGGTAAGGGTGCCCACTAAGGGCCTTTAAGAACGGAGCCAACCCTCAAAATATCTTTAACAAAAAGTCCGTGCGTGCCCGGCCTCAATCAGTTGACGCTTGGACTCTGCGGTCACGCACCCAGGTCTCTAAGACCAACACTAATCTACCTTCCTTTTCAGGTTCCTCTAGTGACAACCGCTCTCATACCTGTAATAGCACACGAGAGTAAATTGGTCGACTGAACGTCTGGACATAATGTTGATTACTGACTACCATTATTATTACTATTATTATTATTATCATTATTACTATTAATCATTGATTATTATTAAACAAACAGGATTGGACTATTAAAGCACAAAATGACAGTCAATTACAATTGATCAGTTTAATCAATCAATTACCGGATAAAATATTTTCCAAACTATTTAAACAACATCAATCATTATTTACAAATCTGGATGAGTCTATCATTCAAAAATTTAATCAGTCCAAATTATTATTATTATCATTATCAAGTGGGAATTTGCCAACATGCCAAACTGATGTTGATGATGATGTTGATGCTGATGCTGATGAACAAATTCAATCGTGTTTGGAATTACCTACTTTATGTGTATTACGAAAATTTCACAAATTCCAAAAACACATCAACAATGCCAACAGATTATGGCATATTTATATAAAATCTATACAATATTTTACAAGAAATTTTAAACAATTACAATTAGTAGTACGAGAGATACAATTAGGTTTAGTGAAATTGTATCGACCATCAAAATTAGTTGGATGTTGTACGCGACAATTGAATAGTGTTAAGGTAAGAAAGAGTGAAATAATTTTGTCAACACATGTGGTGTGTTATGATTGTTTTTTAACATATTTTTGAGACCAGCATTAGAAGAAACCTGGAAGTACTGGACGATGGCTGTTTCGTTCTGGTATGTGGGAGTGACTGATCATCAGCAGTGGTGGTGGTCTAACACAATGATTGATTGATTGATGATTTCAAATATGTGTAAAAACACTAATCTCCATAATTCTAATTAAAAATGTCATGTTGGAAGAAAGTTAGGGGCGGCCAAACCAAAACATGGCAGCAATCCATGAAGTCATTGACGAGTGAACTTAGCCATGTCGATAATTGTCGACTACCTGGTTGGGGTCCGCCAGATGATAATAATCGATGGTTAGAGACCTTGAATGACATGGCTCAAAATCGTTTGGAATGTCGCAGGTGCATTTATTCTTTGTGTTCTCTCAAATCCTAATCTTCTGGATTGTTCAACAACTCTGGTTTTGACTTTCTAAACTTTTCTCACTAAATCAGACTTCTTGAATAATATCTTCTAGTCCTTCCCTATTCGATTACTTCTAATACCTTTACTACCTGTACTACTATGGGATTTGAATTGACAATTACATCTCTGTGCTTATAATGTGGTATGGCGACATGAACTGATGTACTTACGTACGAAGTTCTACGTTGCATCTGACTGACTGACTGACTGACTGAAAATCTCATGATTGTGTTGTGTGGGGTGTTTTGAACAATTTTTTGCTAATATATTATGTGACATAGACAAAGACATATTAAACTAAACACTAATCACCACTAGTGAACAGATCAAGTTTATTTGGATTTAGAATGCTTCTTCTGCTGTCGTTGTCGTCGTCGTCGTTAAGTTTAGAAGTTCACTAATCGAACTGAATAATAACATATCAGTCAGTCAGTCAGTCAGTCAGTCAATTACAAAGTAGAACTTCGTACGTACGTGCATAAGTCCAGGTTGCCATAACACATTAACACATAGAGAGACGCGATTGTTACTTGAAATCTCATACTAGTAGAGATAGTGGAAGTAATAACAGTAATCGGCTAGATTAGTGTTTGAAGATATTATTCACGAACTACAATTTAGTAACACAAATTTAAAAAGAAAAAGATAAAGCTGATCAGGAACTCCGAAAGTTAGGATTTGAGTGCACACAATGAATGAATGCACCTGTGCCATTACAAACAATTCTTAGCCATGTTGTTGTAACGTTTGCTTAAATAATTCCCAGTTAATTCCTATTGCTTAGTATACTCTGACCACACAAAACACTGGACAAGTTCCAAAGAATAAAAAAAAAACACGGTTGAACAGGAAAAGATTATATTCCAAATAGCAAAGTTAAATAGAAATAAGAAGCCAAAGGTGATGGCGAAGGAGAAGGTGAAAATAGATACAACGTTAGTTTCTTTATAGTATTTACATGAGAAGCTTCTGGATTGTAATTCACGTGATCGACTGGATTTGATTTAGCCAATCAGCGTGTAGATAACAGAACGAGACTTTTCTGTCATGTTCTCCAAGAATCGATCAGGCGCTGACTGGATAGGAAATTATCCAATCAGCGCTCAGTAACGTAGTCATGCTTTAATTTCATCTGTGTCCCACCAACACATGTCATTCAAGGTTTCTAACCATGGATTACCGTTGTCTCGCAGGCCCCAACCAGGTAGTCGACAGCTACCAACATGACTCAGTTCTTGTGGCGTCAGTGACTTGATTGATTTGTGCCATAATATATATTTCAAATATAGGCCGTTTTTACGTACATATATACTTGAGCGACCAACAGATGGAAATTTAATAATGATGTGACACGAACAGGCCACAAAATGTGTCGGTGAATAGCGCATACTGTGCATAATAAACCAACAACAGATTCAGTCAGTCAGTCAGCTATAACGTAGGAATTCGTACGTATGTACATCAGTCCAAGTTGCCGTACCACATTACACACACAGAGAGATGAGATTGTCCATTCAAATCCCATAGTAATAGAGGGAGTAGACGTATTAGCAATGATCTAAGAAGAAGAAGAATTAGAAGATATTATTCAAGAAGTGTAGTTCACTGAAATAAATTTAAAAAGAGAAAAATAAAGGTGACAAGGAATCTTAAAGATTGGAATTTCAGAGAACACAAAGAATGGATGCATCTGCGCCATTGCAAACGATTTTGAGCCATGTAATCCAAAGTATTAAACCATCAGTTACGATCTACACTTACTAGCATGGCTCAGTCCAGTTGTCACTGACTTGATGGAATTGTGCCACGTTTCGGTTTTAGCTTTTTTCAGCTAATCCTATATTACAGCATTTAGAGTTTCGCGCTGATTCAGACTAGTTAAAAACGCTGACATACAATGTTAACGGAGCTTATGCTCTCTATAAGATTAAATTCCTCTGTAAGATCCATTTTTTTGAAGGCTTTGTTTGTGAAAATCCCTCCATGTAAACATTTGCAAATTGGTTCTTATTGCGATTCCTTCAGTTGTACATTTTGTTAATCTGTTCGATTCCATTTCGAGATGGTGATATTTGTATTTTATTATCATAGTTTCTATTTTTTGTGCCTTTGCTGTGATTCTATGTTTCTTTGTGACCTGCTTTATGTTGTTTAAGTTGATACTTAGTTATGGCGACAGCCATATTGATTTGTCCCTCGGTTGGTTGAATCGGTTGCACTGACTAGAAGTGTGGTGCATTTTGATTGATTGTAAATTGGAGCACTCTTCCGGAATCGGAAACACTTTGTGTTATAAGAGGGATAGAATATCATTTATTTGAATAATTGGAGGAATAACTGAATGGTAATATTTGTTTAGGTAATGATATCAATCAATCAATAGCAACGTAGGACTCCGTACTTACGTACATCAGTTCATGTTGCCATATCACATTAACACACAGAGATATAAATTGTCAATTCAAATCCAATAGTAGTAGAGGTAGTGGGGTAATGATGTACATTCATATTAATGATGAATATTAAAACCTTCACTTGTTTTGAATTTCAACTGGTCAAGACGCGTTTCTAAAATTCCTCAGTCCAAACGTCAGTTTGAATCCTACACCTTCATCACTAAATTTCATAATCTGAAACATTATTATTGATCTGTTTTGATTCTCAATCGATTGATCAATGCCTCTAATTTTTTTCTTCTGTCCTGACACTGATATTGGAATTTTATATTTTTACTGTTTAAAATGTTATCTTGAAAAAAATGGACTTTTTACTTCATCATTGAAATGCTTTGAATAATGTTCACAAATCAATTTTTCAAAAAAAAGCAAGAAATGATATTGACGCTGTTCTGCATATTCATGCATACGCTGATTGTTCCGATGACATAGTTCTATTCGATGAAGACGCTGACAAAATGTAGAGTCTTCTGATTATCATAAGCAACAATGCGAGCGTGTTCAGTATGCGGTTTCCTCCCCCTCGCGAAATGCGAAATGTTGCTTCAAGATTAGGTTGCATCGGTACCTGAACTAGTAATAGGGAGAGAAGTAGTCGAGCGTGTAGACCGCTTCACTTATCTGGAGAGCGCTAGGTAAGGATGGCAGATCAATAGATAAAGTGGTGAAACTTCATCAGTTGAGGTGGTTGGGACATGTCTTACGTATGCCTAACCACCGACTGCCTCGACGAGCTATGTTTTGTGGTGTAGGAGTAGGTTGGAAGAGAGGTAGGGGCGGCCAAACCAAAACGTAGCAGAAATGCATGAAGTCACTGATAAGTTGGAAGATGTAAGCTAGCTGGTTGGGGTCCGCGAGACGAAAGTCACCAATGGTTAGAGACCTTGAACGACATTGCTCAAAATCGTTTGCAATGGCGCAGGTGCATCCATTGTTTGAGCTCTCTCAACTCCTAATCTTCTGGATTCGTCAGCACATCTACCTTTGTCTTTCTAACCTTATTTCACTTAATTATACTTCTTGAATAATATCTTCGAGCCCTAGTCTTCTTCATAACCATTAATACTTCTACTTTCTTTATCACTATGGGATTTGATTTGACATTTACGTCTCTGTGCTAATGTGGTATGGCAACATGAACTTATGTACATACGTACGAATTTCTACGTTGCAACTAACTGACTGACTAATTGCTCCTGAACACTAGAGTAATCACCCTTCTAACGCGCCACCCCGCTATTCGTCCAATGTTAAATAACTTCGAATTAATTATCGGAAATTGATTTTACTGCTATTGCATATTGTTTTCATAATGTAATGTAATGCTTTTCATTTTTTTGGTAGAATGCTATTGAACAATTGAAAACCTATGAACAATTAATTGTGAATCTTTACAATTGTCTACCAATAATTAAATCCATTTGTCATCCTGTTGCGGTATCACAAACAATAGCTACTATTAGTACAATGAAACAAAATTTTACAAGTCTTATGGGTCGTGCAATAGAAAGACGAAAAATTCTTATGCAAGCATTGAAGGAGGATATTAAAGTAAGTGTTTATTTTGATTTGATTTATGCCGATATATAATTGTTTTTACTCAAGATGATCCTAAAGCCGCTTATTTGGTTTATTGGATGATAGAATCAGGGTTTTTTTAATTCCTCCAAGGTGTTTTTAATCCTTTGTACACACGCACAAAACTTAGTTTAAGCCCTGATTGGACATTGGCTTTTCATTCTCTCAACTTGGTAAATAATACTTGTGTCTCCGGAAGGCAGTGTACCGAACCTCCCTGTCACTAGCTATGCGGTGCGCGCTACTTATAAGTAGTATATGACGCGAGTGAAAACCTAATGTCTGGCTGCAGAAGATGGAGGAATATCAAGAAATGAAGAGTAAGAAAACAATGGAATTTGTATGAAATGCATGAATAGCGAAATGTCAGACAATGGATTGAAGATTTGCAAATGAACGATTTACGATAAGGTTTTCCTATTTTACTGAGCAACTCTGTAATTTTCGTTAAATACAATTGGGTTGCCCTCACCTGTGTTCTCCTTCACTACATTTTTACAATACTCTTAGATACCCATAACACCTCTAGCATATGCCCTCCTATGGTGTGGACATCTAATGTACATGGTTTGATTGTCTTACATTGCTCTTTGCCTATTAACGATATAGCTGCCCTTGTATCGATCAAACACACTGACTCCTGTTCATTCATGTACACTGGTATGAATTGCCCCTCTATCTACTAGTGCAAGAACCTCCAGATTCCTAAGGCGGAAAGAACACACGTTATGTTTAAAATATCGTTTGAGGACGGAGATGTGCGGAGCTTCCTGAAGGAGTTTGAGGCCGTGGCGGAGCTGTTGGGTGTGAAGGAGCCGAAGGCGAAGTTGGTGGTGCTGGGGGCGCTGCTGAGAGTTAGGGAAAAGGCCGTATATGACAGCTTGGATGGTGCCGGTGGGGAAACGACCTGAGAGAGACGGTCACTACTTATAAGTAACGCGCACCACAGCTATATGTGAGCATTTGGAGTAGTAGGAGAGCGAACTATCTTCAGCGTCGATCGTACCAGAGCATTTAGGATAAATATATTTAATTTTTCTTACAAAAAAAACCTCAAATACACTCATCTTTATTTATATCAATGGCATAGAGAAGCTAACAGATGTGTTTCACATTATAATCTAAAGTATTCGGGGTTCTGAGTTTTAATGCCAATTGAACATTGAACGTGTTGAGTAGCTTACATGTTGTTTATATTGTGTAGTTGCATCATTCACGTTAACTAAGTCTCGTTGCCTACAAAAATGATATTGCTGTGAATTGACTTATTGTACTTTTTTTTTGTATTGACTGATAAATTGGATCAATGTTGTGATGTGTTTGTTGATTGCACCTAAAAATTCTTTAGTTTCCTTTTTACTCGCCCTATATCCAGTATTTGAACATTGTTCCAATCGAATTTATATCCATAGTTGTAAGGGAAGAAATGTCATGGCATTCGACTGCTGATTGATGTTCATGCCGACGAAGCTGAGGAGGATATCCATTTTGTTCCTATGTAATGTTTTTCATAGTCTGAGCAGTTGTTTATTTTGTAGATGACGCTTGGTTTTTCTTGTTTTGTCATTTTGTCCTTTGGTGGTCTACATACAGGATTGATTGAAGTGATTCTGTTGGTTTATGTACTATACCTATTCAAAATGCTTACTTGATTATTACATGTCTAGCCTATTATTGCTTGACTATAAATACTTAGTCACTCTTCAGCTCATGAAGAGTTGGCTCGCTCGCCTTTTGCAATTCGCTTCGTTTTGCTTGTATGCATCCCTTCTTATGTTTGTCTGCATAAATGAACACGCATGAAATAAATTCATCCGGAACACCGTATTAGGCTTCTTACTACTACCGTCGCACAAACGGGGTTAGCCTAAGTATGTGATATACAGAAGTGGAGAGGATTTATTTATTTCATTGCATACTCGATCATTCGTTCACATTGAATTCCAGTAGTGAGCCGCTGAAAATTGGTATACGTCGGAAGTATCTGTCACATGATAATCGTAACGCCATTGCTGTGATGAGTGGTTGAGAATACAATGATATGATATGACTGGCTTCGTTACGTACAATGGATACGCGACTGTACTGTCTGCATTGTGTCATGGAGTCTGACACGTTGATTCATTCGTCTAATAGCTTGAGTTTGAAAGCTTCTCCGTCGAGGTAGCTCGTCACGTTGCGTTATGTTCGACGTCGGGAATTCACGGTAATCTTTGGGTATTCTAGGAATATCACACCAGAAGATTGCATGTTTGGATCACGTCGGGCTCACCATTTTCTACTTGAAGTTCGTGCTAAAAATAGCGTAGTTCAGAAGAACAATGTAAGCTCCACAACCACCAACTGTGCTTGGACGAGCTATGTTTTATGATATAGAGGAGTAGGTAGGAAGTCACTAACAACTGGACTTGAATCTTTTTGACAAAGTGTAGACTATCAGATTTGGGTTCCATGAGATGATGATAGATGATAGATGCACTTGCTTCCACCACATGCATCTCTGTGTGTTGATGTAATATGCCAACGTGAACTTGATATCAGTACGTACGACGTTCTCCACTATAACTGATTAACTGACTTGACTATTCTTGATATATATATAATAAAAGTTATTTCTCATCACTTTACTTATTCTAAATAAAATTTATCAACTACAATAATTATTTTTATTCTTTCAAACAGTTTAATGTAGCTTACTATAGTTTATTAAATTGGTTTTTAACGAAATTAGAAATATTGGAATCTTTTGAAATCAAAACAATCGATAATGGTGATGATGAGGATGATGGTGAAAGTATTCAGTTATCAATGAAAACTTTAGTAAGTTAGTTGAAAATTGATTTTGAATGATTACTTAAAACGAAAAAACTAAAACAGATTGAAAGTATTCTTTCTTTGTTTCTAAGAACGATTTTTGTTACCCTTCCATTTTAATCAGAGGAAAAAAGTTTATTGAACCTCAATATCCTCTTTTATTTCTCATTGTCAACTTTATATGGTATCTAGTGTGTTGTAAGCATTCGCGTGCAAGTGTTACGCATGCATGTAAACCTTCGGCGTAAAACGAGAGCGAGGATCGAGGATCCAGGGACACGACAGGCTATTTTAATACAAGTGTCCCAACTCCCATTGAGTGAAAGAAGAAGACTTGATATGTAGTAGAATCTGTATTCTACATGCATCCAGAAAGTACGAAGTCCGAGTTCAGAAGAGAATTAGGATCATGGACTAGGGATCCGAGTCCGGATCTTGTCCATAAAATGTTACAGATAATCTGTATTTATACAGTTAGGTCGAATAGAAAACAACATTTGAAGTCTGTGACATTGATAGTTAAGGCGACCAATAGGAGAAATAACATTGAAGCACGTGACATTGATATCTACTAGGACGACTATAAAATTGACCAGTAGTTCTCTTAGGATATTAGATGAATATCCTAACAGATTCTTAGGAGTAGAGGTGATGGATAGGCACTATTGAAGAGTCCCATACTAGGATGAGATGGCCTTAGAGTGCTTCCAGATTTCTAATAAACGATCTAACATTGATCGATTCATGACTTCAATGAAACACAATAATCTCCACAACCCTATAATGAAGAATATTGTTCACATGTTCTTTATCCGTCACGAAAATGATGTCTTAAGTGTTTGTCGTGAAAACGTCCACTTTCACACACATACACAAATATCACAAAGACATAGATTGCTTTACGATTACATATGAAAAAGATTCTTATCATGTGTGATGAGGAGAGTGACATTGGTAAAATATTGCGGGAGTTCAATAATTGTCATCACTCAATGACGTTCACAAAAGAAGCAAAGTTAGACTTTGAATTCTATTTTCTAAATATTCTTGACAATGATAGATGTAACGAAATCCAATCTGAAACAAGCAGCTTACAAACCAGCAGAGTTGAGTACCGCTGAGTAGTAGGATGAGAAACTTAATTTTCTCTTCATATTTAGAAGTCAATCGAACATTCACTTAAGACACACTAAACGATTAGCTGAATATAATCTGACAAACACATTCTGGAGCATGACTTCTCACCCATGTTCACTGGTTAGTAATCTATGATGAAAATTTCAATTTGAAAGTACTCCTACAACTCCGAAGAAAGTTTTATTTTTGAACAATGAATACAAAGGAAATATGGCAGCTGAGATATTTATGAACTGAATATTTAGATCTATGAAAAAGACGTTTTATTTAGCAGTACTCCGGACTGTTCCCTCCATCAGGAAACTCATTCAGAGAAGTGTAAAAGATAAACTGTCGCTTTGAATAGTCTCAATGTGCAATTTTCAGTTTACTTTTGAAATAAAGTTTTATACCGATGGTTTAACTAGGCTTTCTTCAGAGGATTCCAATAAAGTAATACAGACTGATCGAATTCCAGTCAAACTATCTACAAGGGGATGATCCAAAACACTTCAAATCGAATGAAACCTCATAACCCGTTGTATGTGGACTGAGTCATGTTGGCAGATTTAGGTTACCTGGTTGGGGTCCACGAGACGGAAGTCACCGGTGGTTAGAGACCTTGAACGACATGGCTCAGAATCGTTTGCAATAGCACAAGTGCATCCACTCTTTATGTTCTCTCAAATTCTAACCTTCTGAATTTCTGATCATCTCTATCTTTCGCTTTCTAAATGTATCTCACTGAATTATACTTCTTGATTAATATCTTCGAACCCTTGTCTTCTTCATTACCATTAATGCCTCTACTATCTCTATCACTATGTGATTTGAACTGACAGTTACGTCTCTGTGTTGATTTGGGTATGGCAACCTGAGCCGATGTACTTACATAATAAGTTCTACTTTGTAACTGACTGACCCCGTGCTTGTTTATCTGAACTCAGAAACTAAGTAGATAACGCGATGTCATCTGAAGCCAGTGGTGCTAGGTTCGAGTCCCGTTGTGAACATCAACGTTACAGTGTGGCAGGTATATCCGGCTCACGAGTCTTAAATTTGCCGAAACGTACATCCATCGCTAACCAGATCCTCTATCTATTCTATGTATACTAGCGAATCGTTTTATTTGCCACATAGAATGATAGTCATGTTTCACATTGAAATGAGTATTGCGGAAACTTTATCCTCTATGCTTAATTTGATTATCATTATTATTACCAAACATTTTCGCAGCATAAAGAATATCAACAACGACAATCAGATTTTCATTTAGTCATGAGACTTGGTGGTAATCTACGTGAACGTTGTACATGTACAGATCCAGAAAAGAATATTTTAAATGAGATGCTTGAAAAACTTCAACTAGTCAAAGGAAATTATGGTAAACGTTTATCTAAATGGTAAGAATCTGTTTTAACACTGTCCAATGTGAAGATATTAATATTTCATGATACATGATGATGTGTTTGAAGACTTCAAAAGTTACTTTCTGCCTGTATCCTTGAGTTTAACTGTAGAAATGCAAGCTGAAATTAAGACGAAAAAAAATAGGGGTATGAGAACAATTTTAATTCAAAGTTTATTGTTAATTTAATCGACGTGTTCAACGACAAAACTCCGCTTGGAGCTCTTCTAGTGTTGCTGCCAGTCCGAAGATCGGATAAAGAAGGAGGTTTGGGCATGGAAGTTCAGCGACCCTATATCGTAGAAATCCAACCCGCTGAAAGAAACGCTAATTAAAAAAAATATTTCGCTGATCAGCTGCCTATGCTCCAATGGGGACAACAGGCGTATGTAAGAAAGTTCAACTACACACAATTGAGATGCACGTATGCAATTTGAGGTTCAAAAACCACTTGCCTAAAGAACGATTTGAATTTTTATTGAATACATAAGTTGTATCCACAGCGATCAGGTGATTTGTATGTTAAGAAAGAGGTAGGCTTCTTGCAACAATAACATAAAAAGTAATTACAAAAGCTGGCAGTTGTTAACACTTTATCAATAACTAACACAGGTATGAAAGCTGTTAAGATAAAATGGTTTCAAGAATGTATGGAACTGGAAATAACTATGACAACACTTCAAAGAAAGTTCCATATCACGCGTGCAGAAATTACTGGAAATGAAATTGTTTACTGAATATTAGCAAGTAGTATAAATCACAACATACAAATATTAGTTGGTTGCAAAGAAAACAAAAAGCAGAAAATGCAAACGAACTCAAGAGTTATTTTAGTGTCAGCAAAATTAAGGTATTCATAGGTTTATATATGTGTCTTCATGATACTTGAAAACCATTGAAATGGATTTAAAATGTTGATAATTATTCAACTGATCTATAACAAAATCGACTGTTGCTTTTAGGGATTCTCTTGGGCGGTTCTACAGGAACCTTTCATCAATTTTCCCGCTTCTAAAGAGTTTTTTTTTTTGGAGTAATTACCGATAGTCGTGACATACGTTACATACTATTTTTTTTCCACTGAAATTGTCTAGTCATTGCATAGTCATAAATTTCATTAAAAAAAAATACAATTTACTATGTAACATTTTAACTCTGTATAGAATTCCCCTCTATACTTAGTCTAATTTAACTCATTTTGACTGCATATTTTTCTGTATATTACATAGACAGCGTATGCCACCGATAATTTCCCCCTTATATCAACCTTAATTTCTTACGTTTTTTTTCGTCATCTTATTCATTATCATGAACCTAATTAATTCAACCTCTTTCTATGACTTAATTGTAGTTGTATTAGTAGTAGTAGTAAGAGTATTAGTAAATGTAACAAGTAATTGTGTGGGTAAGCAAATTATTTGTGTAGTTTTTAAACTTTGTATATATTAGTTAGTGTTCATGATTGTTGTCGGTCTAATCACACACACACACACACACACACACACACACATACACTGCATCTAGTTCTCTTGATGTTGTACATTTTTTTTTATATGTGGTATTGATTTTCTCTTTGTATTTTTTGGCATGGAATAGATAAAGTTTTTTTCTGTACTAAATTCATGAATCTATCGTTGGTAAACTACTATTAGACACATGGAAGCACTGAAGGGATGGTGGTTTCGTCCTGGTATGGAACTACACATCAGCAGTGCTTGCACCTTATACGATTTATTGCTACTCACGGGACTAGAACCCAGGAGATTCCGACTCGCGCTGGCGAACAGCTAACCTCTTATTAGTTTCTTTCGGATTTTTTTAACTGCATAAACCACCACCATTAGAAACTTGGAAGAGCATCGAAAGATGACCGTTTCGTCCTGGTATGGGACTAATCATCAGCAGTAGTGTGCTCACATTATCACTCCTGCTACTTGCGAGACTCAAACCTCCGTGTCCTTAATCTCTCGCTGGCGAACACCCTAACCTCTTATTAGTTTCTTTCAGTTTCTCTTTTCGCCATCAATAGGAAGGATTTGATTTCGACCAGATTGGTCTCTCGTGCTGCTACCGGTATGAGGGCGGTTGTCACTTCCCGGCTGCCCACACCGTGGAAGGTTGATTCTTGAGGGACCTGAAAAGGAAGATAGATTAGTGTTGGTCTTAACGACCTGGGAGCGTGACCGCGGAGTCCAAGGGACAACTGCTTGTAGCCGGTCACGGACGGCCTTTTTATGAAAGGTATTTTGAGGATTAGCTCCGTTCTTAAAAGCCCTTAGTGGGCACCCTTACCCAAGGAGACGGAAATCCGTGAGGTAGGGTGAGGTGTGACATTTTTAGGGCTGACCTTTTCTAACCCTTCCTTCCTTGTGAGAAGGCAGATGCTGGTTGTCCGACGAAAACACCTTACTGCTGTCACACCCCTCTACAATCAGTCAGCAGTACGACTTCGCCCTCAGACCTTGAGTAGCTGCTTTTAGTCTCATCGTTCTCCAATCGACCTGCCTGGCATGGTAGAACCTTCAGGAACATATGTATGTTCCAGCCAATATAGCTCGGTCGGGTCATCATGATAGGCAATCCCGACCACCACGTCAAGGTAGCAGCTACGGTCGGTCTTTTTTCTCCATAAACATGCATGTCAAGTAAGAATTATTAAACGGGATATTTATACACACTGACTTACACACACACATACATGCACTTATGTATTTATGCACAATTTATAAATGTAGACACATTGTTTTAGTTTATAAACAATATGAATAACACTTTTGTATACTTGAACAAATAGTAATTATTTCTGTTGTCAATCAGTCGGTTAGTTAAAACGTAGAACTTCGTACGTACGTACGTACACGTACACATCATACATCGGCATACTACCACATGAGCACAAACAGATGGTAGTTTTCAATTTAAATGCCATAGTAGTAGAGTTCGAATATAAGTAGGAGTTCATTTAATTTTATTTATAAAAGATTTTTTTTGGATAGAACAATGAGAAAACGTAATCTGATCTGAAAAATATTATGAAGTATTTACGCTATACACATTTTGAAGAATCTGGTCACACATATATGTACACTTGTCAAGACATTTTACATTACCTAGTAAGCAATACTGTCGTTAGGAAACGAGTACTAGGTAGGGATGTGTAGGGTTCGTCACTAAGTATGCTTGAGGCTATTACGAGTTTACCTTAGTCGATAAACGCGAACGAGACAATTACCAGCGTCCAGGTAGGCTACCTTGAATCCCCAAAGCGAGTAAAAAGGCTTTGTAAGCATAGAAAGTATATTCTACAAACACCCAGCAATCACAGTACAATCAAGCATACAACTTCTATTTATTTATACAACATAGAAACGTCCTTGAGACAGTTAAGAAAATAGCACACTAAAATACTCAGCAGCCAATCACAGCCATGGATTTTCCTGATGGGAATTGAAATCTCAAGGTCAACTGATCGCTTCGCTTTGTGGTGTGTTCCGAATAAACGTATTCATCAATACGAGTTCATGTTCTGATTTATAAACCGACCCTTAAGAACACGCAGATGCATCGACACACCACAATATCTCCGATCATTATTCTTTTTGATTACCGCTAATATTTCTACTACAACAGTGGGATTTGAATTGACAATTCGATCTTCGTGTACTTAAGTGATATGGCAACTTAAACTGATATACAAATGTATACGAGGTTATACATTGTTTGCTGACTGACTGACTGACTGACCGATTAGTAGCTTAATATCGAAGTAAAATACATTTCACCTATACTTGCATTGCTCCTTTTTTTCTGTATTAATTAATTAAAAGGAATCATTTTTTATTTTCAAGTTAATTTGCATGTTTTTTGACTGTTGTGTATTGAAAATAGTTTGATTTCCGTATCTTATTTCTTGTCTCTCTCTCTCTCTCTACTACTACTAATGCGTTTCTTTGTATTCTGCCTATGTGTGTATAGTCAACTACAAATCAACGCATTAATAATAACAAAACATAATGCCAAATCTGCTCTCTCCTCTTTCAATAACTGGTTACAAATGATTGAAGAACAATTAGGCCTTGAAAATAATAACTCAAATGCTCAACATACTACTACTGATGCCATTGTTGTTAGTAGTACCAGTAGTAGTAGTAGTTCAATGAAACCAAAAGAAACCAATCATCATCAAACTGACTTGGACACTACCAACCATTTATTCATCACATCAACGGATAATAATAATACTAGAGAATTATTAAGCAGTTCAACTAATTCAACTGATGATGATTATCTGTGGCGTAATTTCAGTTATAAAGAATATGTAAACATTGTATCAGTATTAGGTGATTTGATTTTTGTTCAATCGTTGAATTCAAATCATTCGGTAAGTAAATAATAATTAATTTACCAGAAAAAAAAAATAACAATTATGAAATATGAATAAATATGTGTAATTTATTATTCGCATCAGTATTAATTTGCCTAATAATGCTGACGAGTTCAGTAGTAGTGTGGTGTACGCTACTTATGTTCACATAAGTAGTATATATGATATCAAATGGAAATCAAATGTCTGACAGCAAAAAAGATCAAGAAGGAAAAAAAATGAGAACAGAAGGTGATTTGTAGGTAACGAACGTAAAGTGAACTGAAGTCTGAACAGTGTAAATGAAAGAACACACTGAAATCTGAAACAACAAATAAGGATTTGTTTGTAAATGATGATTTCACGGGAAGGTTTTGTACATATATATGCTTAACAACTCTGTATAATATTCGCTTAAATATAGATGATGTTGATGTCCTCAACTGAGTTTTCGTGCACAACATAAGTAATAGGATGAAAAATAGTTTTCTAGTACTGTGGTGCGCGCTACTTATACGAACGATATAAGTAGTATAAGAACGGACGTGATAGAAGAGGTCTCACGGTCAGAAGAGGAAAACGGAAAGCAAATGGAGCAAAAGCAAGAAGTAAATGGAGTACCAACAGGAAGGATTGGAAACAACAACAGGAATGGAAGAAGGATGGAGTGTTGGAAGTCACGACTCAAAGAGATGGCGTGCAAATAGAGTGTTCAATGTAATGTTGTCGTTTTTAATTAACTAAGAGTGTAAATTTGCATGATACAATCTCCCGTGTCTGCCTCACTCTTCTCAGTGCTTCGAGGCTTTCAATTGATATAGGTCTATTGGTTGATTTCTTCAACTATGAAATATTTTTATGATTTGATTTGGATGTGGTTGAATAACTTTTATAAAACTCTTTCTCTGTCCTCTCATCACTACTGGATTGAGAATGATTATTTGCTTTTTTTTTAAAAAAGATGCAGTATTTTTTCATTGACAATCTATTTAATCCGACGTTTAGTAGTAGTTATAGAGTAGTAGTAGTCTAGTCTAGTCTAAGAGAAATTTTTTTTCGATAAATATTCAATTACTGTTGTTTGTTTGTTACAGTTTACATAATTTGCAAAAAAGTAAAACAATTAGAAATGCAAAATATATGCAATATGTATTTCATTAGAACAGGGCAGCAGTTCGCTCCATTCTCCTATATGGATGCGAAACATAGCCGTTAAGAGTAGATGTTCGTGTGTTACTAGTATTCGATCATAGATGCTTAAGAAGCATTGCTCGTATATCGTGGGACAACCGAGTAAGCAATGCTGTTATTAGGAAACGGGTGCTAGGTAAGATGATTTGCTGAAACTTCATCAGTTGAGGTGGTTGGGACATGTGTTACGTATGCCTAACCACCGACTGCCTCGACGAGCTATGTTTTATAGTGTAGGAATAGGTTGGAAGAAAGCTAGGGGCTACCAGAACAAAACATGGCACAAATCCATGAAGTCACTGACTAGTGGACTGAGTGATGTTGGTAGATGTAGACTACTTGGTTGGTGTCCGCGAGACGAAAGTCACCAGTGGTTAGAAACCTTGAACGACATGGCTCAAAATCGTTTGCAATGGCGCAAGTGCATCCATTCTTTGAGCTCTCTCGAATCCTAATCTTCTGTATTCGTCAGCACCCCTACCTTTGTCTTTCTAACTCTATCTCACTGAATTATACTTCTTGAATAATATCTTCGAACCCTAATCTTCTTCATTACCATTAATACCTCTACTATGTTTATCACTTTGGGATTTGATTTGACATTTGCGCCTCTGTCTGTCTGTATGCGCAATGCTGATGAGTCCCATACCTAGTGCTTCCAGGTTTCTACTGGTGGCCTAACATTAATAGATTCATGGTTTCAAAAATGTGTAACAGAGATTGTGTTCGGTTTTTGAAATCTTTGAATATCAACGATAAGAAATAAGAAACCTGTTTTTTTACCTCAGTAATCATAATTTTAAAAATGATTTCTCTTTTTTTCTGAAAAATCATTGAAACAAACAAAGATATTAATTGAAGATTTACAAGAACATGAAAAATTATATCAAAAACTTGTAACCAATCATCATAACCATGCTGATGAACTCCGTCAACTTACATATCGTTTTAAACGATTAAAACAAGCATGTAATCTACGAGGGAAATGTCTTCAAGTAAGTTATTTTGCTTTCATTAATCAATTGATCTATGACTTACTTACTTATTTGCTGACTTACGCATGTTACTACTCTAAGTGAAATATAGGCTACCGACTAGCATTCTGCAACCTACTATGTCTTTGGCCTTCTTTATCCAGTTCTCTATCCAGTCGGTATTCATTCTTATCCATGTCTGCTTCAATTTCTCAGCGTAATATATATATATATATCCTTTGGTCTTCCTCTTTTCTTCTAACCTTGAGGATTGCAGATAAGGATTTGTCTTGTGGAGCAGTACGAGTAATTTCCTCAATGTGTGTTGTATACACACACTTCCAGCGCCTCTTTTTGATTTCTTCCCCCAACTGCAAGCTGGTTTGTTTTCTCACGTGATTGTGTTTGGCAACGGATGAGAAGTATTTTGCGTCAAAAAACTGTTAATAAACACCTGTATATATTACAGATGATAGATAGTCTTCTCGTGGTTTTTCTCCAAGTTTCTGCTTCACACTTAAGGTTATTGTATTGTATTGAAAAATCTGGCTTGCGTTGTTGGCTGTTAGTTAGTTAGTTGCTTCGAGTTGCAGATATTATTAAGTTGTAGAGATAATTAATACGGATATCTCCCTCGTATGCGCATGATTTTAGATTGTAAGCGACTAAGTACAGCATATGTCGCCGACCAGCGACTTATTTCTCTGGTTAGCGTTTGCTTTAGTCAGTTGGATTATTACTGGACGAGGTCGCTGTTGGGGATGTTAGATCCTCAGAACTCGTTTGATAAATATCTTTATTTTGAAATTAATTCATGGACCGATCAGTTGACCTTGAGATTACATTTCCCACCACCAAAATCCTTGGCTGTGATTGATTACTGTGTCATTTTAGTGTGCTATTTTTGTGACTGTCCCTAGGACGTCTCTATAGAGTATAAATAAAAGCGATTTGAGTGTTTGGATTGATTGTCTGCTTGCTGGGTGTTTGTAGAATACAATTTCTACACTATATCAAGACTTCTTACTGATACAATTTGGTCAAGGGATCACAATAGCCTACCTGGACACTGGTTCATTATTTTGTTCTCGTTATTCGACTAAGGTGAACTCGTGTAATAGTTTTAAGCATACCTAGAGACGAACGTAACCCCCATGCCCAACCCTTCTCTGTAAACCGATCTTCGGACCCCAACGGTAACTCTAGAAGGGCTCCAGGAGCAGTTGACTATATTCGCTACTGATTTAATTCTAGTTGGAAATTAACTGATTGAGTTTTGCTAACTGAACATCATGGTGAATTATTAAACGACGTTGTTTCTTTAGTTTTCTTCCAAATACCAATGGTGGTCTTAGTCACTTACTTGGAGAGCTATCTACAAATTCTGAGCGAAAACCGTCAAATGATTTCAATATGTAACTCATTGTGTTCGGTAGTTTTTTTTTCTGAATCATAATAACTCCTCATAAAAGATTGGTTGTCTGTCCACTAGCAAGTATCTTGTATATATGAATAATGTTCTTTAACAATAATAGGTTGGCATCACCATTTAAGATGATTGGTTAGTTGTTCAAGCCAACTATTGAAAACCAGACAGACAGTGTTGGACGAGACTGTTAACGTCCTGGGTAACGGTTCCTTCCTAGTAGTAGTAGTTGTGGTACTTACTATTCATGAAAATTAGTCGAAAAGCTATAATTGTGAGAATTTCAACTGTATTCAGATTCAGATCTATTATTCTCAGTAATACAATGGCTGGATGGTGGTCGTGTGAAATATGGTGAATTAATACAGGTTAGTGCTGTAAATCATACCGAGAATGGGAGATAGATATGAAGAGAATGAATAGCGATTGGAAAGAACTGAAACACAAAGATCCCGGACAGAGTTGGTTGGGGGAATGTTGATCGACAGCCTTTGGATCATTAGGGGGAACAGGCGTAAGTAAGTGTTACGCTTGCAACGTAAACATGTCATTAGAAATACTTGAACTATTACAAGTTTATCTTAGTCGGAAAATGGGAGCGAGGATCGAGGATCAGGCAACATGACATGCCACTCTAATCCGATTGTCCCAACCCCCCTCCCATCGAGTAAACAAAGAAGACTTGCTATGAAGTAGAACTTGTATTCTACAAGTATCCAGAAAGTACGAGGTTCGAGTTCAGAAGAGAATCAGGATCCCGGACTAGCGATCCGGGTCCGGGTTTGGTCCATAAAACGTCACAGATAATGCGTATTTATACAGTTAGGTTGAATGAGAAACAATATGGAAGTTTGTGACATTGACAGTTGAGGCGACCAATAGGAAACAACATTTCAAGGGACATTGATATTCAGGCCGACCAACGGGAAACAACATTGAAGTAAGGGACATTGATAGCTAGGTCGACCATAATATGGACTAATAGGAATTAACCGATAAGAACTGACAAAAATGAATTAGACTTTAGAGTAATTCTCTTAGGATATTGGATGAATATCCTAACAGTAAGTAAGTAAGTAATGTGATACACTGCATAACAATTCATTAACCTGATAACTAAGCTCATAGGATGTTGTTTTAGGTTCGATCCCTGGTTGTTTGGGTTATCCCATTTAACAGAATAAAGCAACTAGCTCTCCTATATTTTTTGGTTCTATCAGTTAATGATTAGATCATAATGTAAACTTTATCATTAATTATTTTAGCTAAACCATTAAACCCGACCGATTATTTTTTTTCCCAAAATGATATTTTACAAACATATTCTCTCATTTCACTCTCTCTCTCTCTGTGCGTCTGCGTGTATGTGTATCATTTTTATAGATAGCTGCCGAAATAGCTTCACAATTAAATATAAACTATTCCAATTTAACAATATGGTTATTTGAAGCCATAGATCAATTGAATCACCATAAAATTGAACTCAATTATCATGACGGCAAAAGAAAATCAACGATCCAATCAAAACAATCATCATCATCATCATCGTTTAGCAACCATTTCAATGATTATTTGTACAAAATAGGATTGAATTTGTATGCAAGACTGCATTATCAACAAATCCATGTGTATCGATCAATGTTCAATCAATTTGAAACTATGATAAAACAGGTCATTGTGAAATCGAAATTCAATCAATACCATCATCATCATCCTGATCAGCAGCAAGAAGAAGGAGAAGATGAAGGAGAACACAGTGTTTTTTCGGTTTATTGTGATTCAAAATGTCGACAACAATTTCTTAATCAATATAAACACATTTTGAATTTATGGCATAAAGTAAGCAATGATTTGAGCAAATAAAAATATAAATATTCATTTATGACTGTGAACATGATTATTGGATGAGTAGAGTGGGAGAGAGATTTCTATGAGTTGTTAGTCAATCACTTATTGAATGGCGAGTTGTGGTATATCAGAACACCTGAACACTGTAATCCTAATCAACACTTAAACACCGCAATGCCTCAGACGTTTTCATTCATATATATATATATATATATATATATATATATATATATATATATATCGGCCAATCAATCAGCTAGCAACAGTGTAGAACATGGTACGTACGTACATCAATTCAAGTTGCTATAACGCATTAGAACAGAGAGAGACGCATCGGTCAATTGAAATCCTATAGTAGTGTAGTGAACGAGAACACCGGTGAGGGCGACCGGATTGTATTTAACGAAAATTACAGAGTTACTCAGTAAAATCGGAAAACCATATCGTAAATCGTTTTAATTTGCAAAATATCAGTTCATCATCATATCGAACTGGACTGTTCCTGTTGCAAAAAAACATCAATCCATTGCGTTTCATACAAATTCCATTGTTTTCTAACTCTTCCTTTCTTGATCTTCCCCCCATCTTTTGCTGCCGCCAGACATTACGTTGACATTCACTTCATATACTACTTATAAGTAGCTCGCACCACAGTAGTAGAGGAAGTAGAAGTATGAACAGTATTCGGAAACATAAGGTTCGAAGATATTATTTATACAAGAAGTAGAATCTAGTGAAATAAATTTCAAAAAAGAGTAAGATAAAGGTGATGAGGAACTCAGAAGATGATAAGATATTTAGGAGAACACAAAGGAACGGATACATCTTCTCACCGTTGCAAACAACTTAGAACCATATATCATTCAAAGTCTCTATAGCCATCAGTTACTATTATCTCGCCGACCTCAACCAGATAGCCTACATCTACCAACATGACTCAGCCCACTTGTCAGTGACTTCATAGATTTCCATCATGTTTTAGTTTGGCCCCCGCCTAACTTTCTTCCTCTTCTACACCTACCTACCTACACCACAAAACATATTCCTAATTAATCCACCAGAATTAAAGTTTACCTATTTCAATAAGTTTGATATGATCCTTTCTTAACAAAACATCTTTTTCTTAAAAATATCATTATTTGTTTATGTCGGTAAAAACACCTTGTCTAAAAAAAAACAAATCTGATCAATTGTACATCGAGAGAGTTTATCAAGTCAAGAAGTTATTTCATTCTGATTAAAAAATAACCTGATGTAAATAAAATCCGTTACGAGTTGGTAAAAATTATTTCTTTCACAAATTTATGAGAAACTGAATTAGGCATCTTGTATTGTGTCTTAGGGTTACTACTATCAACATCTCAAACTATCTAACTGGTGATGTATTTTTCATTCTGTGAAATAATAGTGAAGAAAATGTTTTTAGCTCAGGTGGATGATTCGGGTGCTTCGGTTGTGGAGCTTTCATCATTGTTCTTTTTCTGAATATATACAACATCATCAGTAGCACAAACTTCAGATAGAAGTGAAGTGAAGTGAAACGCATTCGAATTTCTCCATTAATCAAGCTACGTGTCACAAACATGGAGAAATTCAAATTCTTCACTGAAATTTGTACTGGTGAGGTTGTCAGTCAGTCAGTGAGCTGCAACGTAGAACTTCGTACGTATGTACATCAGTTCATGTTGCCATATCACATTAGCACACAGAGACACAAATGTCAAATCAAATCCCCTAGTGATAGAGATAGTAGAGGTATTAATGGTCATGAAGAAGACTAGGGTTCAAAGATATTATTCAAGAAGTTAGAATGACAAAAGTAGAGGTGCTGACGATTCCAGAAGATTAGGAATTAAGAGAGCTCAAAGAATGGATGCACCTTCGCCATTGCAAACGATTTTGAGCCACGTCATTCAATGTCTCTAACCATTGATGACTTTCGTCTCGCAGACCCCAACCAGGTAGTCTACATCTACCAACATGACTCAGTCCACTTGTCAGCGATTTCATAGATTTCTGCCATCTCAAATTTTACCAATAAGCGAGTTGTTTAGTTCATATCTGACCCCACTACTTCATCAATGTGATTGATATATGATGATAATAGTATTTTTTTCTTTTTACTTGTTCTTCTCTAAAAAATTTTTTTCATATCTAGCTTGATCAATCATTACAATGTTTACGTCTTCAATTATCATTACAACAAGCAGAACTCTTTAAAAATCTAACTGAATTTGAATTGGAAGAACAATGGATTGCTGAAGAAACAATAAAATTCAATAAATCTTTAACAAGAAGAGATGAGGCAATTTTACAGAATCAATTTAAACAAACCATTCCAAATGGTTCCTCCAACAGGTCAATTGTCAATAAAGATAGTCAGTTATTACAGAATAATAATAATAATAATGTTAGTATGAGTATGAGTACTCATAGTCATCATAGTTTATCAACTTTGAACTCTGAAATGGATCATACTGACCTGCCACAGTTAATAATGACAAGTTCTACATTGAAAGAATTCATTGATACTGATAATGATCATAAAGATGTTGATGATGACGATGACCGCAATCATGATGATGATGATGATGATGATGTTGCCGATTACAATGATTATGATGTTGTTGTTGATGATGACGGTGAATTATGTAAAGATTTAGAGCAACGAATTACTATGGCAAAAGTAAGCTTAAATTTGATTGTTTTATTTGCTCTGTGTGTGTGTGTGTGTGTGTGTAGTCTTAAAAAAATGTGCTCACTATCGATCAAACTGGCTTTGTGAGGAAAAAAACTCTCTGACTTGTAATGAGAAGCCCCGAGAGTTCAACTTTATCGAGTGTGCGCAATATTGTGGATTGATTGTGGAAGTACATGTTAACACCGTTAGTTAGATACCTGTTCGATGCGAGACCGTAGGTACTGTGCTCGGTTCATGTGGGCGCACTGTTGATGATGAATCCGATACTAGTGTAGTGAAGGAGAACACAGGTGAGGGCAACCTAATTGTATTTAACGAAAATTACAGAGTTATTCAGTAAAATAGGAAAACCATATCGTAAACGGTTAATTTGCAAATCTTCAATCAATCATCAATCCATTGTCTGACATTTCACTATTCATGCGTTTGTTTCATACAAATTCCATTGTGTTCCCACTCTTCTTCCTTTCTTGATCTTCCCCCATCTTTTGCTGCCAGACATTACGTTGACACTCGCGTCATATACTACTTATAAGTAGCGCGCACCACACCGGGACATGAGTAAATAAGTTTTCATCATCAGATTAGCACAAACTTCAAATAGAATAAATGAAGTATTCGAATTTCTCCACGTGTATGAATGACCCTTAGCTTGTTCTGTGTTCACCTCGATCTTGATTGGTTCCTTAAACTTGACCTTAAACTTGTCATTGTTTTGCACCCTTAACTGGATTAACCTTTTCAGCCGGCATTTGGTAATCATCATTAATTCAAAACACATATATTCCTTGTCTAACCAGTAATCGATTATCAAATTATCATATAAACCCTAGTTATATGCACAAATGAAATTTGTATGTGTAGCCGAAACAACAATTATAATTAGTAGTCAAGTATTTTCCTTTACAAACAGAACAGAACAGAACAGAACCAGACAAAATTACTTCTTTTATAAAACTGGTTGTAAACTATACTGTTTACTACTACAGTAATCACTGCACTCCTCCTCTATTTGAACACATTGTTATGCAATAGTGTAGTATTTTTTTTTCCGGGTAAACAATTCCAATGTTGTTGTTGTTCTTGTTTTGTGGGGCGTGTGTGTGTGTGTGTGTGTGTGGACGACGGTCTGTACAACGAATAATAACACTGGGTTATTGTGTTCACAGTTTCACCTTATGTGGGGAGGGGGCGGGGAATCTGTATCGATTTGTAATCCTACTACTTGTAATGGGATATACTGTATGCTGGTACAAATATAATTCATCTTTTACTTGAACTTAATTAATTCACTTCAACTACTCTGTCCACCTTTTACCGCGATCATTGAAAAACCGGTCTAGTCAGTCTAGTCAGATTGAATGATATATATACATATATATGTGTATATATAAACGGCTGAGTTGAATATTTTTAAGGTTTTAGAGTTTATATTTCCTAACATTGAATGTAAAATTTCAAACCAACTTATTATTATTATAATTAGGTTAAGGAGTTTGTAGGGATGATCGTATGTGTTATTTTTTTACAACAAGGACTATCTATGCATCGAATAATAAGTAAACACTAAACACAGCTGTTTGTTTCAATCTGGGTTCAATATTGTACTCTGGTGAGGAGTTGCATATTAGGAAAGAACCATAGGTTTCTGATTTTCAGTAGTTTTAAAATCACAGTATCCATTCGTGATGTAAATTAGTAGAGACAGAGAGAGAGAGAGAGATAGAGGCAGATTATATTTTATATAATGATTGAAGTTAGACATTAACACCGGCTCAATGGTCCAGTGGTTAGGCGTCCCCTCATAAGACTGAAGGTCCTGTGAGGTGCAGGAGTTGTGGATGAGCATTTAGGATGAGTTCCTTACCAGGATGAAATAAATGGCTGTAATTCAATGCCTAAACTCACCCTTTCTCTTTCTCCTGGTCATCGACTGCATTATGAAGACGTCGACATCTGAAGGGAGGTATGGTATCAACTGGACAGTTAGGACGCAGCTGGACGATCTGGACTTCGCAGATGATCTGGCTCTTCTATCGCACACTCAACAACAAATGCAAGAGAAGACGACCAGTGTAGCTGCAGCCTCTGCAGCAGCAGTAGGTCTCAACATACATAAAGGAAAAAGCAAAATTCTCCGATGCAACACAACATTCACTAACCGAATCACACTCGACGGAGATTCTTTGGAGGACGTTGACAACTTTACATATCTGAGCAGCATCATCGAAAATCAAGGTGGATCCGATGCAGATGTGAGGGCGCGGATCGGCAAAGCAAGGACTGCATTTCTACAGTTGAAAAATATCTGGAACTCCAAACAAATATCAATCAACACCAAAATCAGGATTTTCAATACAAGTGTCAAGACAGTTCTACTGTATGGAGCAGAAACTTGGAGAACTACCAAAGCCATCATCCGGAAAATACAAGTGTTTATTAACAGCTGTCTACGCAAAATACTTCGTATTCGTTGGCCAGACACTACCTGCAACAACGATTTGTGGGACAGAACAAACCAGATTCCAGTGGAGTAGGAAATCAGGAAGAAGAGGTGGAAGTGGATAGGACACACACTACGAAAAGCACCTAACTGCGTCACGAGACAAGCCCTCACATGGAACCCTCAAGGCAAAAGGAAAAGAGGAAGGCCAAGGAACACATTACGCCGAGAAATAGAGAAAGATATGAGAGGAATGAACAAACATTGGACAGAACTGGAGAGGGAAGCCCAGGACAGAGTTAGTTGGAGAAAACTGTTGGGCGGCCTATGCTGCATAGGGGGGTAACAGGCGTAAGTAAGTAAGTAAGTAAGTAAGTAAGTAAGTAAGTAAGTAAGTAACACATTGATCGATTCATAATTTCAATGAATACATTATGCTCTTCCACACATATTGAATTCTTTTTCGTTTGTTTGTTTGTTATTATGTCAGTGTTCATTTACTTGTTGATTGATTTTTCTCTCTCTCGTTGAAATTAGGAAAATTTTGAAATTTTAAAAAATAGAGAATCGAAACTATCTCATTGTATCAATGCATATCAGCAGTTTTGTGCAATCATTGCTTTTAATCATGATGAAAACAATAGTGTTTGTGAAAAGAACTCTTCATCAAAGACCGAGTTGGCTACGAATCAAAGCCATCATGCTGATGTTGATGATGATGAGCGTGATGATGAGTATCGTTACGCGTCGTCAGCCATCATCAATCCTATTGATTGGCGGCAGTATAATGATGATAGAGCGAACCAATTGAAAATTGCTTATTACAACCTATTGAATCGATCTAGTCAACATATTCAACAATTGGAATGTTATCACAACAAATTAATTGAGGTATAGATATATTTTTTTTTCATATGGATATTGTCAAGTGTGTTTTAATTGTTTGTTCTTGCTACTTTTTCTGCTTTTTAAAACAACAGATCGAAGTCTTCGACTTCTTTAGTGAACATGCATTAGGGTAGCCGATCTTGGTCAATGAGTTAGTTGTTGATGAATTCTAGTTCCTAACTTAAAGTATCCACTGAACAGATCATTTTTGTGCTCTGCTAGTGAGACATTTAACCAAATTTCTTATGTAGCGGAGGTGAAATATTTGTAAGGCAGAGGGACTTTTTCTGTACACACGCTTCTATTTAACAAGCCATCAGTTTGACTGCTTAGTGTAATATCAAGGTAATTCAGCTTTTATAACAACAGATCTGTTGTCATTCAAATAGTTTATTGAATGATGATGGTATGAACCTCAGCTCCACACAAGTACTACTACTACTACTAGTAGTGGTATTATTTTGTTAATGAGATCTTATCGCCATCATCATCGTTTTGTATGTCATGGCGTTGACATGACTGTTATATTTTCTAATGAATGGATGTGTATTTCTTTACTGCAGTCGAATTATGATGAGCATGGTTCCACGGTGTGGGCATCCGGGAAGTGACAACCGCCCTCATACCCGTAAAAGTACACGAGACCAAATCGGTCGAAATCAAATCCTTCTTACACCAACACACACCTCTCTTATCTCCACGACTAACTCTTCTCACATTCCTTTATCACGGTGCACAGCTAATGGAAACGATGCGAGTTCACGAAACGTCATTTGTGGTCTCCTGAAACTCCACTCTAGACTACATGTTGGAGCATTTAATGTACAGACATTTGAGACCTTGAACGACATGGCTCAAAATCGTTTGCAATGGCACAAGTGCATCCATTCGTTGTGCTCTCTCAAATCATCTGTATTCGTCAGCACCTCTGCCTTTGTCTTTCTAACTTTATCTCACTGAATTATACTTCTTGAATAATATCTTCAAATCCTAGTCTTCTTCATTACCATTAATACCTCTATGGTATTTGATTTGACATTTGCGTCTCTGTGTGCTAATGTGGTATGGCAACATGAACTTATGTACATACGTACGAAGTTCTACTTTGCAACTGACTGACTGATGATTAAGCATGACTTACCGCCTACATGTATATTCATTCTACTCGATTTAATGATAACCGCTTACATAATTCCATGATTATTTATTCAATGGCTCGCTGACTCACTCGTTTGTTCTTCAGACTGTAGTTTTGTGATCGATGTGAGCTGGGATTATACACATAATCAACGCTTTGTATTCATCTTCCGTTGGGCCATTATCTAGCAATGGTTATCCAAGACTAACAGTATACGACAAATACCAACAGTCACAACAGAATAGGTGAGCCCACAATCACCACAAAAGTATCCTTAATTTCGATATAGTCTATTCATTGTCAAGGATTAACGTCATTTCTTAACTATAATTGATCACTGATACATTTTCAATTCCTTTAAATTAACTCATCAAAAAGATTATTTTTCATTGGTAATTGATATCCATCATTTGAAAAGAACCATTAAAATAAAGAGGTCATCAGCAATAGTTCTGTTTGTATTTTTTTCGAAACTCATCAACAACATCTGACTACTACCTTGTCATGTCACTCAATGGACAGAACTTAGAATCTTTTGATACTACTATATCAGACTTCATGGTTCGGTTGTCATCGCATCATCATCATCATCTTCACATTCAAGGTCGAATTGTTTTTCTCCAAGTAACAAGGTCCAAAATTTCGATTATCTACTTCCACTAGAACTGTTTCTAGAACGTTGTCGAAGGTATAGTAGAGAAGGAAATGGTGAAATTGAAAAACTCTAGCTCATCCCGCTGCTTGATCGGAACAATGGAGTAAGATGCTTGTATGGTGTCATTGCCTGAGAGGTTTGTCGATAACGCGTCATGAACATGTCCGTCAACTTTTCAGATAAACCTTTGTTTAATAGTGTTGAGGATGTTACACCCGCAGAACTCGCTTGATAAATATCTTTATTTTGGATTTATTTTATGGTCCGATCAGTTGACCTTGAGATTATATTTCCCACCACCAAAATCCTTGTCTGTGATTGGTTACTGTGTCACTTTAGTGTGCTATTTTTGTGACTGTCCCTAGGACGTCTCTATGATGTATAAATAAATGCAATTTGAGTGCTTGGATTGATTGTGTGCTTGCTGGGTGTTTATAGAATACATTTTCTATTCTATATCAAGATTTCTTACTGATTCGATTTGGTCAAGGGATCACAATAACCTACTTGGACACTGGTTCATTGTTTTGTTCTCGTTATTCGTTCAAGGTGAACTCGTGTAATAGTTTAAGCATACCTGTAGCGAAAGAGAACACAGGTGGGGCAACCGAATTGTATTTAAGAAAAATTACAGAGTTACTCAGTAAAATAGGAAAACCATATCGTAAATTGTTCATTTGCAAAATAACAGTTCATCATATCGAACTGGACTGTTCCTGTTACAAAACATCAATCCATTGTCTGACATTTCACTCACTGTTCATGCGTTTCATACAAATTCCATTGTGTTCTAACTCTTCCTCCTTTCTTGATCTTCCCCCATCTTCTGCTGCCAGACATTACGTTGACACTCACGTCATATACTACTTATAAGTAGCTCGCACCACAGCACCACATACCTAGAAACGAGCGTAACAATTTCGCGACGGCATTTTGACAAACCTTTGTTTAATATACAATATAAGAGTCTATAGCTCTGTCCATTTGAAGGTGGATCTATCTTATAATTATTAGCAATAAACACAACGGTTCGCGTGACCTTCAAAATAGTGATGAAGATGTTCTCACTTCCTCTGAATTACACCGCAATATTTCTCCTCTTTTTTTCATTTTTACAGCATAATCTTTACTCTAATTTCAATTTTGATCAATGGAAACAAGATTTCTTACAATGGATAGCGAATCGTCATTATCGACTCAGTGATATATTTAATCCTAAACATGTATCAGCAACATTACGAACTATTGATAAACAACACCACCAACAACAGCCAATCAATAATATACATCAAAAAAACGCCAATTTATCCAAATCTTTAATACCATTATCTAATAAATCTCAATTATCCAACAGTCGTTCATCTGTCAACCTCCTCTATTCAAGTAAAGAATCATTATCACACAAGCAACATCATGATGCTATCAGTAAACAAAAAATCCCACCAGATGACTTGATGATGAATTGTTCACAATTTATTCAAACAATTCTACAACATGGTGTAACTAGTGATCGCGGTGGTGATCGTGGTGATCGTCGATCAACACAAGATGATAGTTGGGCAAATCCTATTTTGCTTAAATTTGCATTTCATACAATTGATCAAGCTAATAAAGGTTTGGTTACATGTCAACAAGTTCTAGATGCATTGAATTCAAAAAAAGCTCAGGTAATTGTATAATTTTTTATTCAAAAGAAAATTATTTAATTTAAATTTATATTTCGGTTTTATCTACTTATTGCGTATTACATATGAATGCTTCGATGAGCTATGTTTTGTGGTGTAGAGGTGTAGGTTGGAAGAAAGTTAGGGGGTGGCCAGACCAAAAAATGGCAGACATCCATGAAGTCACTGACATGTGGACTCAGTCATGTTGGTAGATGAAAGTTACCTGGTTGGGATCCGCGAGACGAAAGTCATCAATGGTTAGAGACCTTAAATGACATGGCTCAAAATCGTTTGCAATGGTGCAAGTGCATCCACTCTTTGTGTTCTCTTAAATTCTAATCGTCTGAATTCCTCATTATCTCTATCTATCTCGGTCTCAATTTATCGCACTGAATTATACTTCTCGAATAATATCTTGAAACCCTAATCTTCTCCATTGCTGCTAATAATTCTGCTATCGCTCTCAGTCTTGAATTTGAAACTAACAGTTACATCTCTGTGCTGACGCGTGGTATGACAACCTGAACTGATGTACTTATGTACGAAGTTTTGCGTTATATCTGTCTGTCTTTCTTTTTGTACCAAAATAAAAAATTAGATCAAGTGTGATCACAAGTTTTTAACTATGGAATTACGTAACATATATATGTGTCAGATTTGCTAATAATAAGTATTCTTCATATATGTATAGATCTACGCAAGGACCGATAATCGTCATAAAATAAATTCACTTTTAATATTTCATGAGTTTATTTCATGCTTTATTTTGAGGATGCTCGATCCCCGTCGTGTCGCTTGCTTGGTGAACCTCTGAATTTTGTGATTTATTTCTGGAAGTTTGAATTGTGTATTTTCGCGCCAAAAACACCCCTCATTAACTACAGTTCGTGTTTCTCACTTGGAAGAACCTTAAACCTTATTGATTACTTTTATTTAGTGTACTATTTCGTAACTCTTCGAAGAACGCTTTTTGTCCTGTATAAATTATGCTTGAATGGAATGCTTGTTGATTCTTGTGCTCGGGGCTGTTTGTTGATGATACAATCCTCCTACAGACCTTAAGCAGGTTGGTATGATATCAAAAAGGCTGTGGAAACAGCAGTGATATCTGCTAGGAAGGTAAACCATGAGGCTAGGATGAAGCCGTGGATTTCAGTCGCATCCACCGAACTGATGGATGCTCGAAAACGCATCCCACCTGACTCTGAGCATGATGAAGAGCGTAGTCAGCTTAGACGCAGACTTATAAAAAAGTCTGCGTAACGACGGCGAACAGTGGTGGGTGGCGAAAGCAAAAGCGATGGAAAAGGCAGCAGCGATAGGCAATACTAGATAACTTTTCTGCCTTATTAAAGAAACTGGTGTTAGGAACCCGAATGTAAGTGAGACTATCTCGGAAAAGGATGGGATTATTATCCATTCTCAATCCAGGAGACTGGATCGACGGGCAGAACACTTTAGGGATCAGTTCAACTGGCCTTCAGCCACTCTTCGGTTGCCGACGATCTCCATTCATCCTGAATGGCAAATCGACCTAAGTCCGCCTAGTCCTTAATGACGTTGAGAAAGCGTTAGGAAATCTGAAACGAGGACGAGCTGCAGGTCCTGATAGACTGACCCCTGAGATATTTAAGGATGGTGGTCCAGTTTTAGCAGCTAGGTTGACTGAGATCTTAGGTAGAATCTGGGAACTGGACGTAATCCCATCCGACTGGTCTCAATCACTGATTGTCCCAATCTATAAGAAAGGACAGAAGTCTTCTTGTGACAATCACAGGGGAATAAGTCTAACTAATATAGTATCTAAAATATTGGCCTCAATAATACTTCGACGCTTAACGAAAGCTCGTGAAGAGCGAACTCGAGAAAACCAGTCTGGTTTTCGACCTGGACGTGGTTGTATAGACCACGTCTTCACACTCAGACAGGTCCTGGAACACAGACACACATTTAGGCGTCCTACAATAGTTGTTTTCCTAGACCTTAAGGCGGCATTTGACTCTGTTGATCGTAAGGTTCTGTGGCAGTGTCTGTCATTGAAAGGTGTACCAAAGAAGTACATTAACCTTATACAAGCTCTTTACTCGAACACTACTGGTCGAGTGAGAGCTTATGGCGAACTGTCACCGGAATTCTTCACTTCAAGTGGTGTCCGTCAGGGATGTCCACTTTCTCCATTCTTGTTTAATTTTATCATAGACATGCTCCTAGAAATAACCTTATCCTCGTCTGAATTTTCAGGAGTAGACCTTTTACCTGGTGGCTCGCTTATTGACTTAGAATATGCCGATGACATTGTCCTACTTGGCGAAGACGCTGACAAAATGCAGAGTCTTCTGACTACCCTAAGCAACAATCCAAGCATGTTCGGGATGCAGTTTTCCCCCTCGAAATGCAAAATGTTGCTTCAAGATTGGGTTGCATCGGCACCTGAACTAGTGATAGGGAGTGAAGTAGTCGAACGCGTAGACCGCTTCACTTATCTTGGGAGTCTCATCAGTGCTGATGGCCTGGTGACTGACGAAATCTCAGCACGGATACAGAAGGCTCGATTGGCTTTTGCCAACGTGCGTCACTTATGGCGTAGGCGAGATATCCGTTTGCTGACTAAAGGACGAGTGTACTGTGCAGTGGTTCGCTCCGTCTTACTTTATGGCTGTGAAACATGGCCAGTGAGAGTAGAAGCTATTCGTCGGTTATTGGTTTTTGATCATAGGTGTCTTCGAAGCTTTGCTGGTATATCGTGGGACACTTGAGTGAGCAACGCTGTTATTAGGAATTGAGTGCTAGGTAAGAATGGCGGATCAATCGATGAAGTATTGAAACTTCACGTCTCTGGCGGTAAGGCCACTTAAAGAGCGGAGCTAATCCTCAAAATACTTTTCATCAAAAGGCCGTGCGTGACCGTCCTCAAGCAGTTATCCCTTGGGATCTGCGGTCACGCAACCAGGTCTCCAAGACCAACAGTAATCTGCCTTCCTTTTCAGGTTCCTCAAGAAACAACCTTCCACGGTGTGGGCAGCCGGGAAGTAACAACCGCCCTCATAAAAGCACCTTAGTTAGCTGAGCTGGGCCTCAGAAAAGAGATTACTTATTCTGTTGTTATGTTACTGATTTATATTCCATTTGTTGATATCAAGTCCTATAACTAATTGTACACTGACTGGAAAAAAAAACTACGAAATATTCACCGCTTAAATTATTTATCTGAGTTATAAAATTAGTCAGGCATCCTAATTCTAAGATATGAATTATATAAAAGAAAATTCTGTGTTTTTTTCAAATCTAAATACAAATTGTTTTTCGATTAGAAAAATTTTTTGTTTAAATTATCATCAGATTTTTAAATAGAGATATTCAATATTCAATAATTTGTTGTTGATATGACAAACTTTACAAGTTTTGTTGTTGTTCATTGTTCACATGATGGTTGTTGGTATATATACACCTGCTTTTACAAACTAATAATCTACAGTCACTACTTATCTAACATGTTTCATCATCATAATAATAAGAAGAACAACAAATTGAAAACTAGGTTGTCAACTTTAAAAACACATTGAACATTGAAACAATTCAGTTTAGAACAAATTTAAACAAAACAGAGGAGATAAGCGTCAATTTTCAAATTTTATTTTATTCAATGTAGAAGAAGAAAGAAAAAAGATTTTTTCTTTTGTCAAAATCAGTTTTGTTTGAATGAACATTGTATTTTTCGTAAATAAAAGGCAAGAGAGAAAATTGACGTAATATGAAAAGAATAAGAATAAGGTAGGAAAATTGTCACATTACCCTAGGCTTAAAGATTACCAAGGTAAATTCAAGGTTATGACAAATTGTTTCTGCACACATAAGGCGGGTTTTAATTTTCTAATAGCCAAGACCTCCATCAACCTCAAAATTCGTGGCCTTCAACATTTCTATCCAATGTTTTGAAGGCTGTCTTAATGTCATCAATCTTATGCCCTGTCTGAATTATGTGTTTTCTCGATCGATGAACATGGTTTTCTATTTCTAACGTTGATCGGCTCATCTGACGTGTTAACTGATTTTGAAGCCACTTAGAGGTACATGTTCCATAACCCTTGATTGCAAAATCCGATTACTCCTGCCTATGTATGTGTGTCCACACAAATATGTAAATTGATAAATACAATGGGATGTGATGTATTCATCATTCGAGCAACATTTAGGTATATGTGAAATCATGGACTTGGTCTTTTCAATGAATAATCAATTTAGCAGCGTTGTATGTTTTCTCCTATGGGTGCTTTTAGTCTCTGTCTTAATTATTAGACCATTTGCTTCACCTCTATATGGTAAAGTGATATAAACCTTTTTCTTTTGAGCAGAATCAAAATCTTGCTTTTGTCTTAACTGATCTGTACATCTATTGATGAACTTTAGCAGATAACCATTTGAAATCAATAATAATAAGAATAACAACAATGTTGTCAACTTTAAAATACACATTGAACATTGAAACAATTGAGTTTAGCACCAAATTTAAACAAAACAGTTTTGTTTTAATTGAGATTGTTTTTTTCGTTTTTTTAAAGCAGAAAAAACCATTGGAAACGCATCAGCTAATTGAACATGCTATCAAACAAGAAACTAGTAAATGTATTTGTCAAACAAAATTTCAACCAAGAAAAATTGCGAAAGATCGATATTGTGTAAGTAGTGTGTGTTTTATTATTATTAATAATTTATTTATTGAACAAGCGATACAAAATACTTGTGCATGAACGAACACATCTAAGCTAACCTCTGAACAGTGCAAGATCGAATGATCTAGGGTTGGACTCCTGTGATGAGAGTAGGAGGATTTGTGGATGTGCACTGTCACTGATGATTCAATCCTATACCACGCCGTCATTCATTGCTTCTAGGTTTCTAAAGGTTCTGGTATGGGACTCATCGCATCCACGACTTCTGCATCTCGCAAGATTCAAACCCCAGGACCTTCTGTCTAGCTCACGAACTCCGAACCTCTGAACATTTATAACACATGTCCTCTAACCACCTCACTTGATGAAGATTTAATACTTCATCTATTGATCTAACATCCTTACCTAGTACTCGTTTACTAACACCGGCATCGCTTACTAGGTGGTCCCACGATATATAATCAATGCCTCGAAGACATTGACGATTGAATACCAGTAATAAGCTACGAATATCTTATCCTCTTACTGATCATCTTTCTGGCGGAGATCCATGAAGTCAGTGACGAGTGGACGTAGCCATGTCGGTAATTGTCGACTACCTGGTTGGGGTCCGCGAGATGATAATAATCGATGGTTAGAGACCTTGAATGACATAGCTCAAAATCGTTCGCAATGGCGCCGGTGCATTTATTCTTTGTGTTCTCTCAAATCCTAATCTTCTGGATTCGTCAACCACTCTACTTTTGACTCTCTTATCTTATCTCACTGAATCATACTTCTTGAATAATATCTTCTAATCCTAACCTCTCCGACTACTTCTAATAGCTTTACTACCTCTACTACTACCATCGGATTTGAATTGACAATTTCATCTCTGTGCTAATTTGGTGGTATGGCAACATGAACTGATGTACTTACGTGCGTACGAAGTTCTACGTTGCAACTGACTGACTGAGTGACTGACTGACCATGTTTCACTCGCATGGTTGATTGTTTACAAATTGTCACTCTCTTACTATGAGGGTTAAACTCGTTTGGATTGACGTTTGAAGGATTTGTGTTTGATCCCTGATAGGATCTTTTGGATACACGTTGATGGGGGGAGGTATACATACCCTCGCAAAGAATCTATTGATTATTTGTTGGTTGCTGATAGATAGTTTTCTAGCTAGATTCAATTCGTATTTTGTAAAACACTAAAAAAATACAATGCTCTCTACTACCTACCCCTACCGTTTAATCAATTGGTATTCATTCTGTTTAACATGTGTATTTTATATAATTTTTTCTCTCTGTTTCTCTCTGTTTTATTAGTTTGGTTCCAGTTCACGAGTATATTTGGTTCGTTTTTTGAATAGTACAACAATTGTACGAGTAGGTGGTGGATGGATGAGTTTAAATGAATTTTTGGATTCTCGTGAT